TAATGGGGATGCGCATTGCAATCTATAAATTACCTTGGTCAGTTAGGAAAAGATGAAGTCAAGTTGTCCCTGTTTGCAGATGACATGATTGTATATTTAGAAAACCCCATTGTCTCAGCCCAAAATCTTCTTAAGCTGATAAGCAACTTCAGCAAAGTCTCAGGATACAAAATCAATGTGCAAAAATCCTTTTCCTAATTTTAAAGAGAATACTTTTAACATTTCCCCGTTAGGATTATATGTATTCCAGATTTTCAAAATATATCTTCTGTTAGGTTAAGTAAGTTTCTTTCTACTCCTAATTTGCTAAGTTTTTCTTTAAAATAATGAATTGAATGATGGGGTTTTTTTGCGTTTTGTTGTGGGATTTAAAAAATATTTATAGTTTATTATTTCCTTTAAGCTATTAATGTGTTGCATTATATTTATGTATTTCTTAATTTTAAAACATCTGTACATTTCTGAGAAACTCAACTTGATAGTGGCACATTAACTTTTTGTTATAAGTTTAAGGGATACAAATGCAGTTTTTTGTTTAAGTGGATATACTGTGTAGTAGTGAAATCTGGGCTTTTAGTGTGACCATCACCCGGGTAGTGAACATTGTACCCATTAAGCAATTTCTCATCCCTCACTCCCCTGCAACCCCACCGCCCTTCTCAATCTTCAGGGACTATTATTCCACACTCTGTGTCCATGTGTACATTCTATTTAGCTCCTACTTACAAGTGAGAACATACGGTGGTTAGCTTTCTGATTCTGAGTTGTTTCACTTAAGATAATGGCCTACAGTTCCATCCATGTTGCTGCAAAAGGTATGATTTTTACATACTATGGGAGGTAACTTGCTAATGTTTTGTTTAGGATTTTTTAAAATATTTATCTTCATGAGTGAAATGGGCCTTTAATTTTCCTTTCTCATATTGTCCTTGTTTGATTTATATGTCAGGATTATACTGGCCCTATACAAATAAGATGGCTAATATTCCTTTTTTTTCTGCTCTCTGAAATACTTTATAAAAGGTTCAGATAATCTGTTTCTTGTAAGTTTTGGTGGAACTTTCCAGAGGCCTGGTGTTTACTTTCTGTGAATATTTTTAGCTACAATTTCTTTAAAATACTTTCCTTATCTTTAGTTATATATCCTTTTTCATTTATACGATTATCTATTTGCATTTTCTCTTTTTATTATTGATCAACGATTATTTGCATTTTCTTTTTGTTATTGATCAGTCTGTTCTGGATTTGTCTTTTCAGAGATTAATTTTCTTTTTGAGTTTGATTTCTGCTTTAATTTTTAGTGTTGTTTCTATTTGTCTTAGATTTATTCTTTTTTTCTAATTTCTGTGTTGGACACATAATTTCTAGTGGATTATTTGAACTATTAAAATTTTAGTCCCCTGAAGTTCATGTAGATGGGTGAATCCTGAAGAATTCCAACAAGTTTTGACCCAGAAAGGATCAGCCGAACACACGCTCCCTCCCTCGCTGCTGCCTGCCCCTCCGCCAGAGGACCTGCCATGGGTGGTCATCTGAGGGACAGTTTTCTCCAGCAAATGGTTTCAAAACAGGCGCTCAGTGTTCAAATGTGCTCTTGGCTTAATTATTCATATTTTTCTTTCTTTTACTTGTATTTGTTAGGTCAGAAAACTGTTAAGGTGTGGAACTGCTTAGACTGAGAGAGACTGTAATCCCTTATGCTTGAGATTAGGAACCTAGGTGGTGGTGTTTAAGGTCACACGGCAGTTTAGGAATGGAGTGGACCCAGGCCAGGACACCTTATAGCCTGTGCACTTTTCACTCAGCCAAACACCTCCTCTACACAGGAGAGTATCATTTTATAAAATGGCAAGTTCACCTGCATGACCCTGTTCAAATATGATTAACATGCAAAGCTCCTTTTTGGAATTCCAGAAAATGCAATTGGAGGAAAGTAAAAACTGTGCAACTTGCTTGTACCACAAATGCTTTTGTTTTGTTTTTCCCACCAGCATTTATTCAATATTTGTCTGTGCCTGTTGCATGCCAAGGATTTATCCTGCAGCATTTTAACATGAACTTAGGCTCACTCTGAATATTTTTCTTTTTACTTTTTGACTTCAGAGTAGAATGGCTTGCAGAAAGGAAATAATGAAGACATCAGGGGTTCAATAAGCAAACAATCATTTATCTTTAACCCTGTGGCAGAGACCCAATGTTGTTTCTCACAGTAAAACAATGATCTTGTTTCTGAAGAAAAATAAAATCAGTACTTCCAAGTGATGTATCCTTCATACCTTATTTTAAAGGAAGAAATATTTATCTTAATTTTGCTGAAGTCTCTCTTGTTTCCCTTATGGGCTCTTACTACTTTTTTTTTCAGAGGTATGACTTGGATTATGAATTGGTTTGTACGCAGCGGCAGTCTCTCTGAGACTCCTGGTTCTTAATAGCCCCGAGAGGTGTTATACAAGTTCTAAACATTCTGGGTTTGAAGCCAAGTCTTGGGTGGCTGTGTTGCTTTGCAGCTGTAGTTTAAATTAGAAACATTCTAGTTTACAGATATCCAGATTTTTTTTTTTTTTTTAAAAAGACCTTTATAGCATATAAAGAGAAGGTATTAGCCTCAGCTTACTTGATTCAGAAAGAATTGAATGCAAAAAAATTTCAGATTAAAGAGACATGTACCTTTGAGAGTGTTTATAATGAAGGGCAATTAATCTCACTGTTAAGATAGAGCTTACTGCGAATTTAAGTTTTATACTGATTGCTTTAAATGTCTCCTTCATTCCCCCCTCACATGTCTTCAGGTGATTGGTTATTTTTATAATTTAAGTATGAAAATCCTGGTCATAACTGGTAATAGAACAACATACAGATTGCAGGCACTTCATCTGTGTTTTGATACAGTGTAAATGAGCCCATTCTCCCTACCTCCCAAACATGACCTTGGATGTTTGGTCCTATAGCTTGTTTTAACATATACTACCCACCCCACGCACACACAAAGTCAGGCGCGCACACTTCAAGAACATTTCACCGGGCTTCATCATTGTATAACCTTACAGCACACTAGACTTTGGATTCCATTGAAAGACTGCAAGAAAATTGTTCCACAAGATGCTAATCCTGAGAACTTAACTTTTGAGTAAATACTAGAGGTATAGATTGACATTTGTATATGGAAATTTCCAGATGCTGCATGTTGCTTTGGGACTGTTGCAGCCTTTCCAAATCCATGTTTCTCTGTCCAGATGTTCATCCTTCACTCAATACCATTTTCTTCCCGTTGTAACTGCTTGCAAACTTTTGACATTGGTCCTATGGACTCTTCCCAAAGCATTTTCTCTCTCATAACTCCAAAAGACTACAATAATTTATAAAGCTTATAATATAAACAGAAAAGAAGAAAGTAGTGTAAAACACTGGTTTTGAAAAACAAAAATAAAAAGGTATGAAAACAAGTACCAAAATCTCTTAGTTCTTAGAAAAAAGATGTAGAATGAAAAAACTAGAAGCCATTTTGTGTTCATAACATTGAGTATGGTCTGCAGGGTAACTGAGTTTTAAAGGTTTTGGAGTCAGACACGTGGGTTCTAGTCTAAATTGTGGCTCACTTTACCAGTATGACCTTGCATCAGTTACTTCTCCTTAAAAATCTGTTTCCTCATCTGCAAACTAAGAACAATAGTAGTAGTAATACCTGCTGCTAGAGTTGTTACCAATATCAAACAGGAGAACAGATGTAAAGCTGTTAGCACACGGCAGGGCTCATAGTAAAAGCTCAACAAATGGTAGAATTTATTATTTATTGTTATACACATTAATAAAAATTATACAGATGGTATGACTTGGCTTTCACTTTTGGAAATCCACTTCGGGACTTAGTTTCTCTAAAATGAAAAGGTTTGTACTAAACATTACCTGCTAACATCTTTTTCTAGCTCACTGGTTACAACTTGAATAGAACTAATAAATTTATATACAGACTGAAAACTTTACATCGTCTAGACTTGTGAAGGACTAGAAGAGAGTCTCAAGTTGCAGAATGTCAGAAGAACAATGACATAGGTGAGGAAACAGGGATGGAACTTCTCATGACAAATGTCCCTTTTCTGAAGAGATTGAATATTAGAAACTCGGAGCCTGACTGGTATAGGGTGAGATAAACAGATATAGTGTTGCAAGTACATTTTTGGGTAGCAATTAAGCAGGACATGGAGACACTAGTTTATTAATGAATCAATTCATTTTTTTGTTCAATGAATAAACAAGCGAATAAATGAGCCCAACCTGCTTCATTAAATATTTATTTTCAATACATTTAATATCCTGTTTCATTCCATAAAATGAACATTTCAAGGTGGCTGAAAATGCTTTAGGCCAAAATGAGATTGGAAAACCCTTGCCTCATGCAGTTCTAGGAAGTTGGACATAAAATGGTGTAAGCTGAGCTCCTCATTCTGAGGAGCAAGACATTATATGGAATATGGAAAATCACTGCTTGTTCTGAAATAGCTACTGTTTCAATTAGCGAGGAAAAGGAAAAAACATGGAATTTTGATCACATCTAAAAATAATTAGTCTTCAAAGATAAAGTACACCTACATGTTCATGATGGTGAGATTACAAAATAGGTCTCAGGGTGTGTCCCAACTGTGAACTCTGAATTGTCTTAGCAATGAATAGATAGAGGATGACACTAGGGTACAGGAAAATAAATACTAGGAACGTGTAATATTGTTAGCACTAAAATGCATCTGACTCCTTCTACCAACTGTCCAAAATTTCATGTTTCTACTAGGTCTGGGTACCAAAAAAAAACTCTTATGACTTTGTAAATATTGATGGATTGTTTTCTCTAAGGCACTTCACATATTAGAAGGTCAGTGAACCTCAGACATTCCTTGTCCCCTGTTGCACCCAATTTATTATATAATTTTGTATGCTCTTGTATGTGAGTCTTAATTTCCAAATAATATCCACAACAATTTTATATGTTTATATTTTTGCCTTTTCAGATTTCAAGTGGAAGATTTTTCAGGTCATAACATGAAAATGTTGCTAATTTTGTTCCTCATGATAATTTGTTCCCATATTTCTGTGAGCCAAGATTCTGGTAAGGAAAAACTGGAAAGAATTCTTAATTTTTATTTTAGAAAATAGATAATACATGAATTTGACTTATTTAAAAGTTGTGAGTTTTGTATCACTTTGTTTTGATTTTGATGGTAGTGAAGGGTAAGGGCGGTAGGTCAAATTCTTTGTGAGGTCACTCCGTGTTCCTTTGAAGATCATTTGTTTCTGGATCTTATTCCTTGTTAATAATAGAAGGATATGAGAGCTGTCATTTTGTCCTGCTTCAACCCCTTTTAGGTCTTCTGGGAGGCTGCATAAAAATTCTGTTAATATTAGGCTCAGGCCTGGAAAACTTGGAATGTCTTATCCTGATTCATTTGTGTCAAAAGGGTGTCTTGGTTTAGTGTCCAGATTTGCTCCAAATTAAGCTATTTGACTGCTTATTGTGAAGAAAGTGCTTTTTCCCTGGAGAGAAAGCTTCATAGCACTGCCTTCTGTCTGGTGACAATCTCCGTCCTGTGGACTTAAGACCCTGGCACACCCTTAACCACTTCACCATCTCCTAAATAATTGGTTCTTGTCCAGAGCAACTTACATTGGCTTTTACAGCTTCCTCGAGGACACTGACCTTGGAAGCAAGTTTTGTGAAGACATAAACTACACTTTGCCCTCCAAACATCTTCCTTTGATGTATCTCTAGGCCTTGAGCTTCTCAAGTAGAAGCCATGTTTTGTCCTCCATTGTTTCATGGTTCAGATGTAGTGATGGACCTTATCAGAAGCTGAGTCCACCTTATGTGCCACTCATCTACATTTCCTTTCTCCACAAAAGATGTAGGGCTTCATTTATGAATAGAAAGTCACAGGTGGTCACAAATCAAGCCACCCACAGCCGGGTTCCCCTGGCAGTCTTCACAGGGTTTCAGGCTTCTTTTGGAGGAAGGTGTTGATACACCCTCACTTATATCTTCTGCTGAGATGCTGCTGGCTGTATAATCATGAAAAGAATCTCAGAGTGGTTGAATTTGGGTTATTTAAAAGACAAGAAATTATTTTACACACTATGCCTCGATCAGATGGCCATAAAAAGAATGAAATAACACACAGGGCTGCCAAAGCTGGTTTCCCAGCCAGTGTAGAAAGGAAAAGATTGAAGTTATTCTAATTTGATTAGAACTTACCTAGTAACCATTTTAGGTAATTGGAATCTCAGAGTGAGGTGGTACCTTAGATATTTTCTAGTTGAATCTACTTATTTTAAAGAAGAAAAAACTAAGGCCCAAGTATATTGAATGTCTTAACAAAGCTCATAGAGTTAGCTGAAGGCAAAGTCAGGGTGTTCATTACTTGTTCCATTACACTGTATTTTCTTGAACATACACCACACACATATGTCCCTCCCTACCCCAGACAAGAAATGGATCTTATGCTAAGGTAGAATGAGCTCTGAGTTCAAACCAGCAGACCACCAGTAAACAACAGTTAGTGTTTGAACCAATGATTCTGTATTACGTAAAAATATAGTACCAGATAACTAGTGTTGAAGCTAACATTGAATGAAGCTTTAAAAGTTAAGCATAGTATTACATTTCTACATGAAACTTATATTTTTAATGGAAACTAAAACTACAATCCCTTTTCTAGTCCGAGATACATTGGTGCCATCACATTTTGCACATGTGGGGATAAAATTCACCAGTTATAATACAATGTTCATTCATGTGATTCATCAAAAATATTAAGATATTTAAAATAACCTTGAAATAGACTGACTATTCCATATTTTTATGATTTATAGACTTTTTAAAAAATGTGACTGGAATATAAAACTTATAAGTTTTTAAGTTACTCAGATAAGCTGTTGTGTTGCTTAAATGAGAAAGGCCATCTTTCAGATTCTACCATTAAAGTGAATTTGATTGGAGTTTGAGTTTCAGTTAAAATTTGTATCTAGTTGACATAGTTGAAGTTAAATTCCAAAAACCAAAAAAATTACAAGAGGAAATTATCCACAAAAGGTATAAAACCCATGATTTTTAAATTTCTGTTTATCTCTTTCTGTTTTATTTTTCCAGTCACTGTTGTTAATCACTATTTCTAATTAACCAATTCCTTGCAAAAGTTATGCTTAATTTTGTGATCAGTTCAAATGAGAAGTTGTTTAAAAGAATCAGCCCAAGATACAGCTATCTCTTTTTCTTGAGAGAATATGCAGTTGCAGACTGCTATTTTCAGTTTATTGGGAAGGTATTTTAAAAATAAAAAGGAAAGTACATCTCCCCACCATAGAGTTGGCATTAAATATGGCAGTAAATTTTTTAAGTTTTTAGTTCGTTTATATGTTTGTGGTTTTGCAGGCCCTAAGTATGCAGATGTTGTGTTTCTGGTGGACAGCTCCGATCACCTGGGATCCAGGTCCTTCCCATTTGTGAAAATGTTCATCACCAAAATGATCAACAGTCTCCCCATAGAGGCTGACAAATACCGCGTGGCCCTCGCCCAGTATAGTGATAAACTTCACAGTGAATTCCACCTGAGCACCTTCAAAGGCAGGAGCCCCATGCTGAACCACCTCAAGAAGAACTTTGGATTCATTGGCGGGTCCCTGCAGATAGGAAAGGCTCTTCAGGAGGCTCACAGGACTTATTTCTCTGCAACCACAAATGGGAGAGACAAGAAACAGTTTCCCCCAATTCTAGTGGTCCTGGCTTCGTCTGAGTCTGAGGATGATGTGGAAGAGGCTTCGAAGGCCCTGCAGAAAGACGGAGTGAAAATCATCTCTGTAGGGGTGCAGAAAGCTTCTGAGGAAAACCTGAAGGCCATGGCCACGTCTCAGTTTCATTTCAACCTTCGGACAGTCAGAGACCTCAGCATGTTTTCCCAAAACATGACACAGATCATCAAGGATGTAGCAAAGTACAAGGAGGGAGCAGTTGATGACATCTTTGTAGAAGGTGGGCCTAGGATATATGTATAGGAATGATGATAAAATGCTTTTGAAACATTAAAATGGGGAGAAGATTGAAATTCTATGAATATTTCTATCCCCAAAATGGGCCACATTTTCAGATGTTATGTACCCATACATTTAAGAGAGTCCAGTGATTATGACTATTTTCAATTAGTGAACCCCACAAGTCTTGGTTTTTCATGTTTCACTTATCTGTGTTGCCTGAGATTCACAGACTTCCTAACATTTAGGGATGCTTTCTCCCTGCCACCCAACTGATCTCTGAGCTATTTCCCTGGGCTTTAGTTGCTATGTAGTTTTAGTACTGGTTCATTTAAAAGGTAAATTTGCTTCTAAAGAAATTCTTGACTCTTAAAACCACATAATATAATCATAGAATGTTAGATCTAAAAACAATTTCCAGAAGTCCAGATCCCCCCCTGCCCTTTTTTGTTTTGGAAATAGGAACTTATATATATCCTTAGAAGTGATGTGCCTTGGCCCAGGGCCAGGCTGTGACTTAAAGTCAGAGCTAGTAGGGCAGGTTTCCCAATTCCCAGCCATGTAGTTTCAGCTCCAGACTGCCTTGCTCCCTGCTACCCTATTCTGAATTAGTTTTCCCTGTGTTCTGCTCTGGGGCCAAACTGCTCTCCTGGTCTGTCCTCTTGTACTACTCTAGTATGTATGACTCTAGAATGGTCAAGAGTTTGTGATCATCATTCAAGTGAGGGGCAGGGGATAGCCAGTATAAAACATGTGTTCAAAGTGTACATGTCCAAATATGTTATATAGGAAACTCACATTATCCCTGATTAAATCAATTTGAATGAGCTGATATATGTACTTACCTATTGATAACAGAGAATGCTTTCCTTGGGGTCATCTATGAAACCATGAGTCCTTATTGCTGAGATCATTCCCAAATAAAAGAACTGAAAATGCAATTGCTATTTCATTACTATCCCTTAGGAATATTTGGACTGTAACTGCTGACTGTAGGGTAGATGATGCTTAAATGATTTTAAGATGATAGCAATGGCTATGGTTCACTGAATGAATTTTATGTACCAGGCCCCATGCTAAGAATATTATCTCATTAAATCCCCATAACAACTCTATGAGATTAATATTATCTCCCTTTTACAGATGAGGAAATTGAAGCCAGGAGTTTAGCTAAAATGTAGTATTTGAACCCAGGTCTCTTTAACCTCAACTTCATAATTATTTGTCTACCTCCTGCTCTAAGTGCATAACTGAGCTCTACTGTATGGTCTTCATGCCTTCTGATGCTCACCAAAGATGCTGAACCACCAGCTAAAATTGTGCTTGTTTATTTCTTGCCCATACAGCTTGCCAAGGCCCTTCTATGGCCGATGTTGTGTTCCTATTGGATATGTCAATCAATGGAAGCGACGAGAACTTAGACTATCTTAAAGGATTCTTGGAAGAAAGTGTATCTGCCCTTGACATAAAGGAAAATTGCATGAGGATTGGCCTTGTGGCCTATAGCAATGAGACAAAAGTGATAAATTCACTGAGCATGGGCATAAATAAGTCAGAGGTTCTCCAGCATATACAGAACCTTTCTCCCCGGACTGGGAAAGCCTATACTGGAGCTGCCATCAAAAAGCTCAGGAAGGAAGTCTTTAGTGCACGGAATGGCAGTCGGAAGAATCAGGGGGTGCCCCAGATTGCCGTGCTGGTGACCCACCGAGATTCGGAAGACAACGTGACAAAAGCAGCTGTGAACCTCCGACGGGAGGGTGTGACCATCTTCACCCTGGGCATAAAGGGGGCCAGCGACACCCAGTTGGAAAAGATAGCATCCCACCCTGCTGAGCAGTATGTCTCCAAACTGAAGACCTTCGCTGACCTGGCTGCTCACAACCAGACGTTTCTGAAGAAGCTGCGGAACCAAATAACACACACAGTCTCTGTCTTTTCAGAGAGGACCGAAACGCTCAAATCTGGTAAGGTTTCTGCTGAAAGAAGGGATGTTTGGATTCTTTTTTCCTTCTCTTTCAAATATTCTGTATACAAAGTGGATGGGCTTGGTAAGATGTGGATGGGAAGGGGATAAGTTCCTAATTTTTTTACTTGAGCTTGAAAATATGAATCCTAAATTGGGGACAATAAAAGCCATTGAGGTGTTGGCATGGGGACAAGAGATTTCCCCTTCTAGTTCCTCTTTTGTGCAGCTGTAATTAGGTTTGTTACTCATCCATGCTGCAGAATACCTTCCTTTGCTATTTTTCTCTCTTCATTTGTCTCTCTTTTGCCTCTCATGTTCTCCTGCTCTTCCCTTTATTTCTTTATTCTTTTTGTACTTTTCTTGCCCAAATCTTCTTCCCTCATTTCCAAATTCCAATTTAGAGAATAAACAGGAGTATGATTTGAATGAAGAACGAAGTAATTATGTAATTTGTTGTGGGGTACCATTCTAGCATCCACTAGTGCAGCGACAGAGACAGAGGGCGATGTATCTTACATTCATATATACACTTATACTATATAAATATGTTTATGTATTGGTATACATATAGACATATATATTCTTCCATAAATATAGCATATTTACTACAAATGTCATTGTCTCACTCACGAATAGTATCCGTAGTTAGTTGACAAGGAGTGGGTAAGGAGTAAATAATTTGCTCAAGAGAGTTCATGTGCCCACAATGTCCAGTTAAATACCTTCTCCATTTCCCAACACACTACTTGACTTTTTGCTAAGCAGTTATTTACTAATGGGTGAAGTGTCTTGTAAAAAGCAGCTTCAAATTTTTTAAATCTCCTACTATATTCAGATTTATCCTGATTCATGGCAGAGAATTAGGGCAATAGTCTTAAAGTGTCAGAAGCGATTCATTTGGCTGAAGGGGGATGCTAAGATTCCCCCATTTTAAGCTAACAAAGCATGTATTTTAAGCCTAGAAGCTGTTTCCCATTTTTCTGTCTGAAGAGGTTCGTATTTGTTCTTCTTTCCACCTGCTCTCATTTTTTCTTCATGCTTGCTCAAATGCCACATGCAACTTACTGATTCCATTTCAGGTTGTGTGGACACTGAGGAAGCAGACATCTATCTGCTCATCGATGGCTCAGGGAGCACCCAGGCCACAGATTTCCATGAAATGAAGATCTTCCTGTCAGAGGTGGTAGGGATGTTCAACATTGCCCCCCATAAGGTGCGGGTTGGGGCCGTTCAGTATGCTGACAGCTGGGACTTGGAATTCGAGATCAATAAATACTCCAACAAGCAGGATTTGGGAAAGGCCATTGAGAATATCAGGCAGCTGGGTGGGAATACAAATACAGGTGCAGCACTGAATTTCACACTGAGTCTGTTGCAAAAAGCAAAGAAACAGCGAGGAAACAAAGTTCCATGTCACCTTGTTGTCCTGACAAATGGCATGTCCAAGGATAGCATCTTGGAGCCTGCAAACAGACTGAGAGAAGAGCACATCCGAGTTTATGCTATCGGGATTAAGGAGGCCAACCAAACACAGCTGCGAGAAATTGCAGGAGAGGAAAAGAGAGTGTATTACGTGCATGACTTTGATGCATTGAAAGACATAAGAAACCAAGTTGTTCAAGAAATCTGTGCTGAAGAAGGTAAGAGAAACCGTGGCTCTACCTACTGACCTTCACTCGCAAATTGCCATCCTGGCAATAATTGACATTGCTGGTTTAGAAAAACAACAACATTACTAAGTTGAGATTTGTTGACTTGTGTGACTGTGTGTGTTCTCTAGAACAAAGCTAACAGCCCATTATAGTGTTGTTTTAAATACTATCTGAAGCATAAGAAAAATATTTGGAGGAATTTCCCTAATAAGTATTAATTAGCTTCCTCTCACAATTTCTTGCCACGATAGATATATGAGTGTATACCACATGTGTAATATGATTAAATGATTTCAGATTGTAAGGAATACTTCAGGTTTATTTGAATGTATTTTTATACAGCTCTTATGAAATTTTTTTAGAGCTATATCATTTAGAGCTCCTGTTTTCAACCAGGAGTGATTTTGCACCCTTAGGGGTTATTTGTCAATGTCTAGAGACATTTCTGATGGTCATAACTGGAGGATGCTCCTGTCATCTAAGTGGTGGAGGTCAGGGATACTGCAAAGAAGTATTTTACAGGATCCTACAACACACAGACTTCCCACAGTAAAATGATGCCCAAGATGTCAGTGGTGCTGAGGTTGAGTAACCCTGAGTTATGTATTTCAGCAAATTACTAAATAACAAATAGAATATTCTCACTTTTATTGTCTTCTATGCTTTATTTACTACTAATTATTACTAAGTACATATTTCAATATAAAATTATTTGTGTTTTGGATTTTCCTGTTTACTCTGAACTTTTTACATGTAGCTGACTTGAATAAACATCCCAGCTTTTCTTTTGCAGCTTGCAAAGAGATGAAAGCTGACATCATGTTTCTGGTGGACAGTTCTGGAAGTATAGGACTTGAAAACTTCAGCAAAATGAAAACGTTTATGAAAAACCTGGTGAGCAAGTCTCAGATTGGACCAGATCGGGTGCAAATTGGTGTAGTCCAGTTCAGCGACATCAATAAGGAGGAGTTTCAGCTCAACAGATTCATGTCCCAAAGCGACATTTCAAATGCAATAGACCAAATGGCTCACATTGGACAAACCACCCTGACTGGTAGTGCCCTGAGCTTTGTGTCTCAGTACTTCAGCCCCACCAAGGGCGCCCGGCCCAACGTCAGAAAGTTTCTCATCCTTATCACGGATGGTGAAGCACAGGACATAGTGAAGGAACCAGCGGTGGGGCTTCGGCAAGAAGGTGTAATCATCTATTCTGTGGGAGTGTTTGGCTCCAATGTCACCCAGCTTGAGGAGATCAGCGGGAGGCCCGAGATGGTTTTTTATGTTGAGAATTTTGACATTCTGCAGCGCATTGAAGATGATCTTGTTTTTGGAATATGCAGCCCCCGTGAAGGTAGGCATGGGTATACTCACTAGCAGGACTATCCAAACAACAGATGTCTTTTTTAGCCTCTATTTCTTGAATTTCGTTCTATTTACATATTGTAAACTTGGTTTAATTGAAATGTTTCTCCTAGTGGCTTTGACCTGTTGAAGTAAACAGACAGGGAGGAAGAATTTTGGTTTACCTAGATCCATTCCCATTTGTAGGTAAATAGCACTAGAGCGATGAATCTCCATTTAAGAAAAATGGTATCATACCAGATCTTAGATCAGGTTCCCTAGAAGCAGAAGTTAAGTCAGGGGCTCTTTGGAAGTGATTTATTTAGGAGGTATTTTCAGAAGGAGTGTAGGAAACAGGTCGGGGCGTGGGTAGGAACTGAACAAGGAAATCACCTTAGCTGGAGTCTAGTTTGACCTGATCCCATGGGGAGCTCCAGGCCATGAATTACAGAGCTGGTTCTACTTTGAGGCGAGGGGCTCAGCCTTGTGTGCCCTGTGTCACTGGGCTACGTGTGGGTTGCTGAGGCAGGCCTGGCATTTATCTCTGGCGCAAGGTGTCTCCTCTTTGACCTACACATCTACTATATATGGTGTTTATGTTTGCAATTTCTAAAGACCAATACTTGCATCAAATGAGATAATGTTTGTGAAAACACTTTGGTAGTTATTAAATTTTATAAAGAAGGAATATAGTAAGAGGACTTGAGCAATGGTTGCTTCAAAGTAAGGAACCTAGTCCCCACTGTCTTCCCATGAAACTGCAGAGTAACGGAAATGATCAAAAGTAATGGAAATATAGAGTAATGGAAATGATCAAATAAAAGCTCAGCAAATATAAGGGGCTGATTTATACTGTGACCCGTAGGGCTTGATGACAGAGGCATTCTGAACATGAAGGACATGGATCTTCATGGAGTTTAAAGGGAAGAGAGGAACATTGTTTGCTTATTCAAATAACAGTTCTGTTCAACTCCCACTGGAAGGTTTGGTGCTCATGATCTGTATTTTGTAGAAAAAGAGTACACCTGGTTTCTATTTCCTGGTAATTTCACCCAGAACAAATATGAACTTTCTGAAGCATTTTGATGCAGTGTAATCTACCGCCACTCCCCTGGGTAATCCAAGCAGGCTTCCCAGGCAGTCAAGACCACGGGGACATAGTTCTTCTATGTAAATTCCCACGTAGAGCCAGCCTTTCTTGGGAATTTGGTTGATGGCCCTGTACACATGGCCTGCAATTAGTGGGGACAAGTACATTGGCTCTAAGGTTTTCAACAGCCCTTACATAGCCAGCAAGTGGCTGTCAAAAGAAGAAAATGTGGCAAGCCTCTGAGGGGTGGGTGCTTTCTCACAATTCCGTTTCTCAAGAATGGATGAGTTAATGTTTGGAACATACCTTTCTATGGCCTGCAGAGAGAATGTGCTACATAAGGACTAAATAACAAACCATCTTACAATTCCCCTTCTCCAGAATGGATGAGTTAGTTTTGGAATACTGCACCTTTGGAGGGAACATGCTACACATGGATTAAGAATTAATTGGGTCTTTCCTGCTTTTCTGTTCCATGGTGCTAACCTCAGATTTAAAAAGTTAATAGGGGCATCATGCTAAAACAGCTTAGTTGGACCAAGTGTGAAGTGGGCTTATTTCTATGATGAGACCAAAAAATGAAAATAGATGTTTCAAAAAAGTCAAAAAGCGAGGAAAAAGTAACTTTGAAAAGTCACCCATCAGAGAATCATGAAAAAAATACAGTATTGCCAAATTCATTTTTATCTGGTCATTTCCCCAAGGTTTATATTATGAATACAAATCTCAAGATCATGGTTAAAAAAAAAAAAGAAACAAATTTGTATAAATGAAAGCACATGTTGGAGAAACCACTTATACAGGAAAATGTACACAGAATTGACTTTTTTAGTCCAAAGATTTCAAAATTTTTTATTCCTGACAATCCTGTGATTGTCACTTCACCCCAACCCACTCCCTGCAGTGGGACCCCACTGACTCCTTTATCTTTCAAGCTTACCTAAGTGAGTATTAACTATATACTTCCAGCACCAATGTATGTGTATTGTCTCTCTTATCTTTCATATTGAAAATTCTCCTTGGGACAGAAAAAAAAGTACTAGATTTCCCAATCTGAAACAAAGTAATTTAATAAGTTAACCAATTCCTAAAGGATTGATTTGCTGTATTTCTTCTTATCACTTCCTTGCTTACCTGGACTTAAGGAATCTCAGACACCTTTAATATTTCTGAGGCTATTAGAATTGACATTCTAATGCATAGCATGATCCTCATGGAGAGAAAACACTAGCAATTTATAAAAAGATTGGGGTGTCTCCCATGCTGTCCAAAGCTAATCTCATATGGTTTACCTTTCTCTTCCTCTTTCAGAATGCAAGCGGATTGAAGTTTTAGATGTTGTGTTTGTCATTGATAGCTCTGGCAGCATTGACTATGATGAGTATAATATCATGAAGGATTTTATGATTGACATAGTGAGAAAAGCTGATGTGGGCATGAATCGGGTCCGGTTTGGGGCTCTGAAGTATGCTGATGACCCAGAGGTGCTGTTTTATCTGGATAACTTTGGCACAAAACCGGAGGTAATTTCAGTGCTCCAGAATGACCAAGCCATGGGTGGCAATACTTATACTGCTGAGGCACTGGGCTTCTCGGACCACATGTTCACTGAAGCCCGGGGCAGTCGCCTGAACAAGGGGGTCCCCCAAGTCCTCATTGTGATCACCGATGGGGATTCCCATGATGCTGATAAACTCAATGCCACGGCAAAGGCCTTGCGAGACAAAGGCATTCTTGTCCTGGCTGTGGGTATTGCTGATGCCAATCCCGTGGAACTGTTAGCCATGGCAGGATCAAGCGACAAGTACTTCTTCGTGGAGACTTTTGGAGGTCTGAAGGGAATAATTTCAGATGTGACAGCCAGTGTCTGCAACTCTTCAAAAGTGGGTAAGGTTTGCCACTAAGTTTTTTCTAATTATTAGAGCAACAAATGAGAGAGAAAGCAAAACAATGGCTCTCAGGAATGAGTTTTCCAGAGACGAGAGAAGGATTTCTAATTGTTTCATTTTTTTTCTTTTTTTTTTTTTTTAATTATACTTTAGGTTCTAGGGTACATGTGCACAATGTGCAGGTTTGTTACATATGTATACATGTGCCTTTTTGATGTGCTGCACTCATTAACTCATCATTTACATTAGGTATACTCCTAATGCTACCCCTCCCCCCTACCCCCTCCCCACAACAGGACCCAGTGTGTGATGCTGCCCTTCCTGTGTCCAAGTGATGTCATTGTTCAGTTCCCACCTATGAGTGAGAACATGCAGCATTTGGTTTTCTGTTCTTGCGACAGTTTGCTGAGAATGATGGCTTCCAGCTGCATCTATGTCCCTACAAAGGACACGAACTCATCCTTTTTTATGGCTGCATAGTATTCCATGGTATATATGTGCCACATTTTCTTAATCCAGTCTGTCACTGATGGACATTTGGGTTGATTCCAAGACTTTGCTAGGACTTTCTATATTATAAAATCTCAGGGTTGGGTTGGAAAGACCTCGGATATTTCATTCAGACTACTCCCCCAAGAAAGATACTTTCTGCAGCATTCCTAATTGCTTCTTCCTAAACTCTTCTAATGATGGGGAATTCATAAGTTGTTTTGTTTTGTCCTTTTTTTTTTTTTTTAGACAGGGTGTTGCTCTGTCGTCCAGGCTGGAGCGCAGTAGCATGATCACAGCTCACTGCAGTCTCAGCTTCCAGGACCCAGGTGATCCTCCTGCCTCTGCCTCCCCAAGGAGCGGGGACTACAGATGTGTGCCATGAGGCATGGCTAATTTTTTTTTTTTGTAAAGACAGGATTTCACTGTGTTGCCCAGGCTGGTCTCAAACTCCTGGATTCAAGTCATCTGCCCTGCTTGGCCTCCCAAAGTGCTGGGATTACAAAGTGTGGGCCACTACACCTAGCTGAATTCACCAGTTTTGAACAGGCTTCATTAGAACACAAATGTGCTTACACATTTTTCCACCCACTAGTTCTTTTTCCTCTTTGTGCAAGAAATCAAATTCTCCTCGCAAGAACCAGCTATAATTGCCTGAAGTCTTCTTTCCTTCAGGCCAGAAGTCACCAGTTTCTTTGCTTATTTCAATTATGGCGCAAGATCATTTAAAATGCGAAGCCCAGTATTAAAAACTCGGTTCCAGCCTCAGAGGTTTCCAGGACAGAGCATAGTGGGACTTCTTTTGCACTGGATGCTGGGCTTGTGTTCTGACAGCTGGAGATTGCATTGTTGCATGTGTGTATGTATTCCTTCCTTCATCATTTTACTTTCCATTTATAAGTTTGGTTCAGAGAAAGATTGTTCTCTACTTAGTTTCCTGAGTATTTTTCCTAAGATTTATTTTACTAAATATACAAAATGTTTTTACTTAGCTGAATTGCTATTAATTCATGATTCCTACATCTAGATATAGTAGTTCTTTTTAAAACTCATCTAACTTCTCTGATTTTCCTAAGCCTTGCCTCCTTAGAATGCAGCTACTATCTTTTTCTTTCACAAAACTAACAAAATCTTTCTGGGTCTTACTGAAAACTGGGACAAATCTCTTCCTTCCTTGTAGCCATTGCCTAAAATTGGATCTATCTTTCACCAGTTCACTGTAGAAATTGACATTGCATTTTCATATTGAATATTCTCCTTGGGACAGAAAAACAGTACTAGATTTCCAAATCTGAAACAAAGTAATTTAATAAGTTAACCAATTCCTAAAGGATCGATTTACCGTATTTCTTCTTATCACTTCTTTGCTTACCTGGACTTAAGGAATCTCAGACACCTTTAATATTTCTGAGGCTATGATGAGAACTAAGTTCGGACAGTGGTGAGATCACTGGGGAATTCATGGAAACGACCATGCTTACCAGAAAGCTAAGGAACACGCATGTGCCAAGCATAACTCATTCATTGGCAATGGTCTCTCTCTTGTTTTATATTTGCTATGTTAATATGGGGGAAGCATCTCTGTATTGCATTGCTTGTTCAAAAATATTTTTCTCAAGTAGATATTTTTGCCTACATACAGCAGAAAGGGACTGATAACAAGGAAAACTGACTAGATACAGACCAAAAGGCATCCTTTTAAAACCTCTTTTCAATATGCCCTAATGAACTAGAAAAATAATTATTGGCTCAAATGACCAGGGAGGCTAAGTCAATAATACGAACCATCTGCCTTTTTGTTCGAATCCCTAAATGTATGTGTGTTTTGTTTTCTCTTGATGTGCTACTACTGTCACCAGGCTTTCTGGAAGAGCTCAGGCTAGACTGTAGATGAGAACAAGTTTTCCGTAGCACTGGCCCCAGTTCTCTGGCATCTCAGAAAATAAAATGGCCTAAGACCAAATCAACAAGCCAAGAGAAGCATAAAAAGATGTGTGAGTGATTCATGCCTTGTACTGACTTTATGAACTGATCATTTGCCTTTATTTCCTCTCCAATTAATGTGACCACATGCTAGAATAAGTTAAGAAACCACTTTCAGAAATATCATTTCTATATAGCTGCAAATTTTTTTTTTTTTTTTGGAGATGGAGTCTCTCTCTGTCTCCCAGGCTGGAATGCAGTGGCATGATCTCAGCTTATTGCAAGCTTTGCCTCCCAGGTTCACGCCTCAGCCTCCCTAGTAGCTGGGACCACAGGCACCCACCAGCACGCCCAGCTAATTTTTTGTATTTTTTTTTTAAGTTGAGACTGGGTTTCACCATGTTAGTTAGGATGGTCTCGATCTCCTGACCTTGTGATCCACCCGCCTCGGCCTCCCAAAGTGCTGGGATTATAGGCATGAGCCACCACGCCTGGCCTATAGTTGCAAACATTTAATTTACTCTTGGTGGATTAAGGAAAGAATAACAATCTGGGTTTGCTGTTGTTCCTTCTCTTCTTTGTAGATTGTGAAATTGACAAAGTAGATCTTGTTTTCCTTATGGATGGTTCAACTAGCATTCAGCAAACCGACTTCAAGAAAATGAAGGAATTTCTGGTATCCGTCGTTCAAGACTTTGATGTCAGCCCCAACAGAGTGCGTATAGGAGCAGCCCAGTTTAGCGATGCCTATCACCCGGAGTTTCCACTGGGAACTTTCATAGGTGCAAAAGAGGTATCAATTCAGATTGAAAACATCACGCAGATCTTTGGAAACACACACATCGGTGCCGCACTCAGGAAGGTGGAACATTACTTCAGGCCAGACATGGGCAGCAGGATAAATACAGGTACCCCACAGGTGTTGCTGGTCCTTACAGATGGCCAGTCCCAAGACGAGGTGGCCCAGGCCGCGGAAGCCCTGAGACGCAGAGGTATCGACATTTACTCTGTGGGCATTGGGGATGTGGATGACCAGCAGCTCGTGCAGATCACCGGGACTGCAGAGAAAAAACTGACAGTGCACAACTTCGATGAACTGAAGAAGGTCAATAAAAGGATCGTTCGCAACATCTGTACCACAGGGGGTGAAAGCAGTAAGTATTTAGCAAGTTCATATCGATTCCCTACACCATCTTCTCTGACATTTTCTTCAAGCTCCATTGTCATCCCCTGGGGCTAGTGGGAGCATTTAGAGGTGTGCTTCTGGATTTCAAATTGAGCTTTTCGCAGTTATTAAATATTTATCTTGACCTGCGGATTGAGAAACAGGGTGTCTGAAATCCTGTGCCCTTTTTCCTCCCTGTCTCCTGGGTGAGCATGCCTCCTTTGTGAGTGGGAACGCCTGCCTTCCGGTGTGAGGAAAAGGCCATTGTTTGCAATCTGGCTGGTTTCAGAGGTTGAAGAGCATGCCTCAAAGAAAGGAAATATTTGACTGATTTTTTGGTTTTTTGGCAAGAGGGCCTATAGGGCTGCCAAGAGCTGTGGTACAGATAGGTAGGAAACCTCCCTAGAAGTTTATATCTTTATTATGAAACTTTACCACAGAAGTTAGTAAATATCTTCTTTACAATGAGTGCATTTTGACACTTTTTTCAGCAGATGGAAGTGAAGTGTCTTAAAGGAGAAGTCACTTTTTCTGTTATAAAGGCACCTTATGGGTTGGCTATGATTCTGTGTAACTACCCATGGTAAACATTAATCCCAGATTTCCACTCAAAAAAAAAAAAAGGTTGCAAAGTCATGAAGAGGCAGCTCTGAAGACAGACAGCCTGACAGCAGATCCCTGCTCTATGGCCATTTTTTTCTGGGACAAGTTGCCTAACTTCTCTAAGTTTAATTTTCTCACCAATGAAATGTGAATGATAGCAGCACCTAGTTCAAAAGAACATTGGGAGGACTCAATGAGAAAATGCATATTTAAACTTTAATAAGCATAACACCTGGGATAAAATTATAAAGTGCCTTCATTTTTATCTACCAGTAACCATTAAATTTATCAATGGGACCCAGCTCTTCCCTTGCCTCTCATCACTTTCAGGAAATAAAAGAACCTCCTTTTGGTCATTAATATGTCCATCCCAGTCATATTAAAACTTTACATTTTATTCAAGGTTACCCCACATTTCCAGCTTGCTACAGGCTGCCTTGCTGTGAGAGAAGTGGTTGACATTTCACCCAATGTCCCCAGCCTTTCACTGCACTCCCCATCTTCCAGGTGCTGCTCCATCTTACTAACCATAGTTTTGGCCTCTCCAGAAGGAGAAGGTACTAGGAAAGGGGGAACAACTAAAAGGGTACAGGAAAGTTTTTCATCTGTCCCTTATCAGGAATTGGTTTTCTCTGACAATAGCCCATGTCTAAAGCCAGGTCCATTCATAGGTCCTTCAAAGATTTCACCTCCTGCCCCACATCATCACTTCCCCCACCAAGCCACCTTTGTCTAAAAATCTCTCCATCACAGTTTTTTTTAGGAGGGTATGTCTCTATTCCAGAGTGTCTCTTATGCCTTTTTCAGCCTCTGGGCATCTGGTGACACCTCCAGCTTTGTTCTGCTGAGGTTTCCCTGCCCCCACCACGGGCTTCTTAGATGGGAGATCAGAGGAGCCCACAACAGCTTGCTCTTCCACTCAGCCATATCAGCTCCATGGTCAACAATAACATATCAATTGCCCTAATAAAAACTGGGAATCACAGCCCCCCAGCGTGATTGCCTCTTCTTTGTAGGGAGGGCAATATGCCATCCTGTGTCTCATGCTTTAGAATTTCCAGAATTAGGTTATCTCCAGATTATCTCTGAAATCCCCTCTCTCAGCTTGAAAAGGAAGTCGCCCGCTCTCCTTGTGTGTGTGCCTGATGAGAGAGCCCACAGCACATCAACAGCTCTCTCCAAACAGACTTTTCCAAACTGCAGTCTGAAACATTTAATAAGACCTGATGTGTGGGTCAAAGGTTAAGAGTTCTGTAGTTGATTTGGGACTACTGACTCTCTAAGTCCTGCTTCACATACTTTGGAATGTATCTGATTACCTCAGCCAAACCTTCCACATTAATTTCTTGTTTCATATGAAATACTCAAGTCCAAGTATTAGGCAGAAAATTATCTCTGAACCATCTAGTTTCTGAGTGCGATGAAAGAAAACCATGTGGAAAGTAAAAAACAGGAGTATGAACTCCAAGTAGTTAATGAGTTATTTTTTAAGGAAATAGTCATGAATGCAAAATATAAGAAAAATACTCTGTATTAAGATAAACTTGAGGTTATTATTCCAGCAAGGAAGAATGTGAGGCAGGCTGTCAGCTGAGGACTGATGAGGCTGGAATGAACGCCGGTAAAGCTTCAAAGGCATGTACAAATATATTAGGGGATGCCAGTTCTTTTTAAACTGTAAATCCCAAAACAAGGAAATCAAGACAATAGCTGAGTACGGCTCAAAGCAAACTGGACTTAAGGCCTGAACACTTGCTCTGCTTCTTATTAAAATATGCATAACTTTGGAGATGTCACTAGTATTTCTGAGTCTTAGTTTTCTGGTTTCTTAGTTTTCTGGAATCTCTAAAAGTTCCTCTAGTTGCATACTGTGATTCAACGTATGTGAAAGGGAGGTCAGCTGCATGGAGGTATGAGGGAGGTGACTAAGAATCTTTATTTTTTGAGCATCTACGAAGGGTCAAAACTGGTGCTCTAAGCACTTTAAATGTACTGTCTCACTCAGTTCTCCCAGCATCTTACGTGGTTTGTATTTTTGTCTTCATTCATAAATGTGGAAGCTGGACTTCAAGGGAATATTGGTAGCCTGGTCTAGATCATACAGGAAGTAAGACTAAGCACATTTTGAAACCTAGGCTTGTCTGACCCCCATCTGTTCCTCCCACCACCCCCATCCCTGAGTTCTTTGTTATATTAAGCTGTTTTCTTGATATTAGTTGTTGTCTAGGTTATCTGATGTTGACATTATAAAGAACTAATATCTAAGTGTTGTGCTTCACCAATTAATAGCTGGAGCTTATTAAGACATCATAGGTTTGTATCTTTAAAATTGTTTCCACAAGCTGATATTCCCTAAGGAAACCACTTCCTGCTGTCACTTCCAATAGCATAATCTCTTCATAGAACTAGCAATCTCCATGACTTGTCATCACTGGCTAACCAGGAAGTGGTAGTATAAGGTAGTTCAGCATGTGGACTCCAGAGAAGTCTGGATCTGAATCCCCAGTGTGAGAGACGAGACACAGTGTTAACTGTGAGATCTTGGGCAAGCTTCTCTGTCACAGCTTCCTCATCTGCAAAATGAAAAAGAGCTTCTACTTATTCTGTGTCTTATGAGGAAAAGTGAGACAGTCAATTGGAAGTACATGGTAAGTGTTCATTGAGAGTTAGCTAATATAGCATGTTGCTGAGAGTACCATGAATCGATCTCTTGAATGCAAATTTGTGGAGTAATGGGGTTAGTTCACAGAAGGACAACTTACCAAGAATTCCTTAGTTTAGGGACTTAAATATTTTAGCCACATTTCAGAGCTATATTCAAATTTAATAAATATACACGGCATTTTCTCACCTTTATCCATATTTACTGTCTTGATTTTTCTTTGAGACTGGCTATTCTGTCCACTAGAGGAGACTTGGAGCAATTTTTAGAATGTGGAGGTTCTGTCTATTTTTTAGCATGGAGCCATGATTAGGTAGCAAAGAATCGGGAGCATCTCTCATCTGATATATCTGTCATTATGGATAGATGAATCAAAAGGGAGACTGGGCAAAAGACTAGTCTGATTAGGGTAAGAGACAACCTCAGGATTTGATTCAAGAGATGTGAAAAATGTAAGGAAAAAAATAGATGTTCATTTCCAACTTTTAATAAGGAGCTATTTTTATGTTCCTGCCTTAACTGGATCTGGGTTCTCTAGAAAACAGACCTTTGAAGCTCTTGAGTTTACGTGCCAATACTTTATTGGGAGTGCAGTCCCAGGGAAGCAAGAGTGAAAGGAAGGGAAGTGATGTGGGAAAGGAGGGGAAAGTAAATACAAGGTAGTATGTTACCAAGTTAGCCACAGCTTAAGAAGCGTAACTGGTGCATTGGTCATGCAGAACATCACTAGAGAAGCCCTACAGAACCACCGTGTAGACCAGCCCAGCAGGGGGAATAAAGGAGAGGATTTACCTGCCAATTCCTTCCCATCTACTGCCTCTCATAAGTCAGAGAGCTAACTTCCCTACACTACTGGGTTGTGTTATCCAGCCCCTTATGGAAACTGGTGGGGAAACCAGAAACAGGTCCCACGGTGCACTACATCTAGGGCGGGAAATGGCGAAGGGGCCAGGGCCTCCCTAAGTTCACATGGGTTGCACACAGGCACCAGAGTCACTGTGGCCATTCTGCAGTGAGCATGGTGGAGGCCGTGTCAAAGCCAGGCTCTCACCTCCGCGGTTAGCAGACTAAGGATGGTGGCAGCTGGGGCTCTTGAGTGAACAAATGTCTATGGCTTGGGGAAGGGAGGAAGCAAATCTGGGAGGTGTATAAACTGAGTCTCTAACAGTCCCTAGCTATACTTTATAGATCATCCTTTCTTTTTAAAATCTAAATTACCACATCTTTCAAAGTCCCAAACAGGTTTATCTCCTATCCCAGCTAATAACTGCCACTTTCCCCTCTAAAGTATTTTCTCAAGAATCTGTCTTCTAATCTTACAAATGTACCCTAGCCTCTTGACAGTATTTCTTAATACCAAGAATCTGCCATCATCAGCTCCAATTAAAAACTGTCTTTATAAAGTAATAATTAGAATCAGCTTTTGGGCTTGGCAGGAAACAATGAGACTTGTAACTGGCCCAATTCACTCTTTTCTGTGCTTTTGTATTTTTACTTTGAAGTATATAACCCCCTTATTTGTATAGATAAGAAAATTAATGCCCAGACAGGATAAGAGTTGCCAAAAGTAGTTTGGCAGTAACAGAGTGGTGACCAGCATATGACTGAAACTGAACTTCTGTCTTCCCGCTCACAGACCTGCCCCCCAGGATTCCGCATTGCTATTTGGAGGACTAGTCAAGGGCTCAGCCTGCTACTCTTACTTCTTTTGTCACCCTCTGTAGCCATTCCTGCCAATTACCTTCTTAAATATTTTGCTTTTATTGCCCCTTTCTTATTCCCACTGCTGTTATCCTACTTTAATTCTTTATGATTTCCTTGGAAATCCAATTTCAGCCTTCTCCCTAGCTCACTCCCTGCCCCCAGTCCTTTGGAGTCACCAGTGGCAGATTCACTTTAAAGCACAACCTGTGTCGTGGAAGACTTCAAGACAGGGCTCCTGATTTAAGGGCAGATGTCTCAGTGGAGTTTTTAGGCTGTTGCATGAGAGCCTCTTGCTCAGTATGGTTTGGCCTCTCTCACTGTACTTAGACACATGGTTACTAATTCTGGACTTGCCCACCAAATTCCATTCCTTCTCTCACATTATTATGGAATCATTTGTCAATTTAAATTAAACACAAGGAACTTGTTTACCTAAATAAGTTTGTACTTTCAGCAATCTAGACAAAAATTTAAAATATACAATGTTTATAGGCAACAGTTCCCAAGGTCACTTGATGTCATTTTGGTATTTCTGCTGGTTGGTTTTTTTTCCACACGAGTCTGTTTTCCTTAAAGACACTATCATATCTTGTTTACTACCTGGTTTTCTGCTCAGGTTTAAACAGTTGTCATCAAAGATGAAACTTTCAAGCTCAAGACAGATATGAGAAGACGTTGATGCAAGAGGAATTTTGGAAAGGATATATTCTGCTTTTTTTCTAAATAGTTTATCTTATTTTCTGATTATCTGATTTTCTGATTATCTAAGAAGAGATTTCCAATAAAGTAAAATACAGTAAAATAAGATGTCCAGTCTTCCAGATTTTTGATAACACTTTGGTTTACCTTGAATCTCATGATGAAAATTGATTATCAAATAAGATTTTTGTGTTCCCTCAGTCAACTCTCATTAAAAACCAAGTTGCCAACAGTTGTTTTAAAAGTTGAAATTAACGATTTTGGTTTTAAACACTTGCAAATGTCCAGCTGACCAGTGTGTCTGGGAAGTAGTTAGGCATTTGCCTTTACAAGGAATATCTTAAACATTGCTGATCTAAGCAAGCCAAATTAAAAACAACCACTCATTTTATCAAGCAAGCTGTATGTGTTGAGTTTGCTGAAAAAAATTACAGTTTTTAGCCAAGTTAAAAACTATTGAAAGAAGAGTGTTTGAGTCACATGACTTTATTCTCTAACTGTCTCTTAGGACACTCAGCTTAAAATATCAAGGCCTTTCTAGTTTATCCAACTCTTAAGTTTCCCTAGAATTAATAAGAATAAGAGCAAAGCACTTTAATGCAACACTTCTCTAAGTATTGAACCTCAAAATGGCAGTGTCCTTGGCTTCTGGGATGGCTGAGCTCCTGAAAGCGGCACCATCTTTGACATGGTCGAATGTGAATGATTTGGTTACCAGTTTCTTCACTTGTCAGACTTACACCAAGCCAGATTTCAAAGGATCTCCTGAATTTTTTAGTTTTGTTTTTTTCTTTTCTGAGTGGATGTTAGAAGATGACAAGAGGAATCAGAGGCCCTTTTTAGAACGATAAATCATCAAAACCATTCCTTAGATGAGTCCTTTGTGATTTATTTTTTTCTAAATGACTTTATTCAAATGTTCTTAAATTTCCCTTATAATTATTAAAATTTAATATTTGTCGAATGACCTCAATTGATAAGTAGCATTATATGAATGTTTTATTTTAGACTATTAACATTTCCACAGTGTACTTTGGGGATATTTAAATGATTCTGAATGACTTTTTCAATATCTAAAATAAAATCTTTCAGAATTTCATTATAGAATCAACGGATTTTTTATGACCTGAAAAAGTAATAATGTACCCTTACACTTTTACAGATTAGAAAAGAGTTGATGCTTAGCCCCTTCCTTTATTCATTTATGCCTTTCATTGTGTTCTAACTTTATAACTGAAATAGAATTCCAAGTCCCTTGATTCAGACATGGTGTCTGAGTTAAATAAAGGTGTTTGTTGATTTATTAAGACATGCTTTTCCTTTGAATCCTAGACTGTTTCATGGATGTTGTGGTGGGATTTGATGTCTCAACTCAGGAGAAAGGGCAGACTTTGCTTGAAGGTCAGCCTTGGATGGAAACCTACCTTCAAGACATCTTACGTGCCATCAGCTCCCTCAATGGAGTAAGCTGTGAGGTGGGCACAGAGACTCAGGTCAGTGTGGCTTTTCAAGTGACAAATGCCATGGAAAAATATTCTCCCAAGTTTGAGATCTACAGTGAAAAAATATTGAATAGCTTGAAGGATATAACAGTTAAAGGACCATCTTTTCTCAATGCAAACCTCTTGGATTCTCTATGGGATACATTTCAGAATAAATCGGCTGCTCGAGGAAAGGTAACATGGATTTATCTTATTTGTTGATCTGTGATTGAAGTGAACCCCTTTTAACTCATTTTTCTTTTTTGGAATACTTCTTAGGTGGTCCTTTTATTTTCAGATGGATTGGATGATGATGCTGAGAAACTTGAACAAAAATCTGATGAACTTAGAAAAGAAGGTACTGAGTATGGAGGAGGAGTGGGAAGGGAGTGCTTATTAACTTTATAGTCTCAGAACTAACTTCTGGCTCTTAAATTTCCAGGCTCTTAAATTTTGAATAACCCTGATTTTGACAATCTCCATATTCTGTGTGTACTAGGCAGAACAAACAAGCTCTCAGAATATTTTGACATGCATTTTTTTCCTCATGCCTTATATGTATGAAACAGCACTGAATACAAAGTCCTATCCTTTGTATCATATGACTGTATTTCTTCTTCCTTTCCTGGAGAATGTTCCTTTCTCTCTTGCCCCATATTGTCTAATATTGCTACTTCTTTAGTGTCACCAGAAGGGAATAGTATGTTTCTCTTTGACCAGAGAATGAGAGTCAGTTTTCTTCTAACACTTGAAAAGTTCCCAGAGTTGCAAGCATTGTTGGATAAGTTTATTCATGTTTTGGGGCTTTCTAATCAGTTCCTTCCTTCAGACCACAGATGGGCCAACCATGGTGTTTGAGATTTTTAAGCTCTGGCACCAGGCTTTTAGCTTTTGAACCAAAAGCTTCTATTCTGAGTCAGACAAGAACATGTGGATGTTCTTGTTTAGTCAAACAAAGAAGTTCTTGTTTGACTCAGAATAGAAATCCTCTTCTGTAAGTGGGTGCAATTTCTGCCCTACCCATATCTCCTTTACTGGGAGATTCATCTATCTTCTAGCTGCTAACAACTCACAGCTTACTCCTTCTCTGAAGAATTGCCCTTGGCCAGTAGAGCCACATCACCTGGAAGGTTGCTCTCCACCCCATCCTTGGGCAGCAGATTAGGTTACAGAGTTGGACCTTTGCCTCTAAATGACACCAGTGGTGTGGTGCAATTTATGCTCCAGAGCTTCCTGGGATCAGGCTAAATAAAGCTAGACTCCAGCTGCAACATTGTCTTGCTCAGTAACTTCCCCTGCCCTATCCTGTTTTCCTCACTCCCTTTCTTCTGAAAGTGCTTCCTCAACAATTTGTGCACCTCCAAATCCTTATCTCAAACTCTGTTTCTAGGGAACCTGACCTAAGGCATTACCTGTCAGGTTAGCTAATAGAGGTTGACAGGACTTTGTGTTTTCTATTTTGTTCTCTCTCTCCCATCTTAAACAAATTGCAAAATTCTCTGAGTTTACTACTAGGGAGTATCAGGGGAACTAGCCCCCAGTATTTCAACGTAGGTTCTTTTCTATTTTCCCTAAGTGCTGGCTGGTCTGAGAAATAAAGAGAAAGAGTACAAAAGAGAGAAATTTTACAGCTGGGCCTCTGGGGTGTCATTGCATGTTGGCAGGTTCTGTGATGCCCCCTGAACTGCAAAACCAGCAAGTTCTTATTAGGGATTTCAAAAGGGGAGGGGGGTACGAATAGGGAGTGGGTCACAGAGATCATATGCTTTAAGGGCAATAAAAGATCACAAGGGCAGGGAGGCAGAGTGAGATCACAAGGCCAGGGCAAAACTAGAATTACTGATGAAGGTCCATGTCCCACTGGGCACACATTGTCATTGATAAACATCTTAACAGGAAACAGGATTTGAGGGCAGACAACTCGTCTGACTAGAATTCACCAGGCTGGAATTTCCTAATTCTAGCAAGCCTGAGGGCACTGCAGGAGACCAGGGCATATTTCATCCCTTATCTTCAACTGCATAACACAGACAATCCTAGAGCGGCCATTTTAGAGACCCCCTCCACCGGGAATGCAGTCTTTTCCCAGGGCTATTCCTTGCTGATAAAAAGAATTCTGTGATATTTCTCCTATTTGCTTTCTGTAAGAAGAGAAATATGACTCTGTTCTGCCTGGCCCTGCAGGCAGTCAGACTTTATGATTATCTCCCTTGTTCCCTGAAAATCGCTGTTATCCTGTTCTTTTCAAGGTGCCCAGATTTCATATTGTTCAAACACACATGCTTTACAAACATTTGTGCAGATATCACAATCATTACAGGGTCCTGAGGCGACATAGATATTCAGCTTACGAAGATGATGAGATTAAGAGATTAAAGACAGGCATAGGAAATTTTATAAGAGTATCGATTGGGGAAGTGATAAATGTGTGTGAAATCTTCACAATTTATGTTCAGAGATTGCACCAAAGACAGGTGTAAGAAATTATAAAAGTATTAATTTGGGAAACTAATAAATGTCCATGAAATCTTCACAATTTATGTTCTTCTGCCGTGACTTCAGCTGGTCCCTCCATTTGGGGTCCCTGACTTCCTGCAACAAGGGAGTAAGGGTTTTTATTTTATCCCTTATTTACTAAATCTGCCTTGTTTTTATTCTCTCTGGTCTTGGCCTTTGTTCATGAGCTATAATTAAGGTTTTAGTTAAGACTGAAAAAAGATACCAGAGTGCTTAGTTGGGATGGGTAATGTAGTTTTGGTGGTTGCCATTGTTTTGTTTTATTTCAGCTTTTCCTTTGTGGGGAAAAGATGTTTCTCTTGCAAACGACAGTAGAGTTTCTTCCAGGAAGTGCTTTGGAATACCCAGAATTCTAAGACCAAACATCTTTCTTCCAATGCCTACTGAAAAACTAGTAAATGGGTATCAACTTCAGAAGCTATATTTTGAATAATATCCTCAGATATTTAGATTCTTCAAATGGAAGATAGAAATCATGGTAATAACATTCTTTGAAAAGTGTCTAGTTCTTTGAAAGGGACCATCTTTGACATGGTTGAGTGTGAATTTGGTTACCAGTTTCTTCACCTGTCAGACTTACACCAAGCAAGATCTCAAAGGATCTGAATTTTTAAATTTTGTTTTTTTCTTTAATAAAGAAAAGAAAGTGGCTTTCTGTATGGACAAGAAGTATCTCTCTCACTGGTTTCCCATACTTACACACACAGGACTTCACTTGGTGCTGGGCCCTATGATCTATTCACCTAGGAAAGCTTTCTTAATTTCAGGCCAAACATCAATATGTGTAAACTATGCAATCATCACTGAACAAGAGGAGACAAGGAAAAAATAATCCTTGATGGTGGACATGGCTTTAAAACTTATGCACGTGGATTGGGGCTTAAATTAATTATTTTTTTAGAATTGAATACCCTAGAATCTACTCAGTGATTCTTTATTCTTCCAAGTTTGAAAATCTTTTCTTTCTTAATTCATTGTTAGAAAATCAAAAACTTTGTATTTAGGATCATATGACTCATTTATTGGATGAGTCTGAAAGAAGACTGGAATCCCTTGATCCTAAGAAAAGCAGTTATAAATAATAGTTATATACATATTTCTTGCAAGTCAACAATCCCATGGTTCTTATTTTATCATTTTACATTCTTAAAATTTTACATTTCCTGGATATTATAAGAAAAATCAGATGAGAGAAGGTTTTTTTTTTCTCTTATAAGTAGATCCATTAGCATGCTTCTCTTGATCACTAAACACCAATTGATGTACCATTTCATATCCCAGACCACTCTACAACCTCTTTTCTCCCCCTCCTCATTCTCATTCTAGAAGAGTGACCAACTGTCCTGATTTGTTTGGAACAAGATGGGAACTTTCAGCACTAGAACCAGGAAAGTCCTAGGAAATGAGGACAAATTGGTGACCCTATTCTTCTTTGGTGGTGGTGGCTCTTTTCTTTCCTTTTTTCTTTTCTTTTTTCTTTTCTTTTCTTTTCCTTTTCCTTTTTCTTTTTCTTGTCTTGTCTTGTCTTGTCTTGTCTTTCGACAGAGTCTTGCCTTGTTGCCCGGGTTGGAGTGCAGTGGTGCCATCTCAGCTCACTGCAACCTCCGCCTCCCAGGTTCAAGTGATTCTTGTGCATCAGCCTCCCAAGTAGCTGAGACTACAGGCACGTGCCACCACGCCCGGCTAATTTGTGTATTTTAGTAGAAATGGGTTTTTTCACTCTGTTAGCCAGGATGGTCTCTCTCTCCTGACCTCATGGATCTGCCCACCTCGGCCTCCCAAAGTGCTGGGATTACAGGCGTGAGCCACCACGCTCAGCCTCTTTCTCTCCACTGCAGATAACCATTCTGTTTGCCTCTCTTGGAACTTGAACCTCTCCAATATGTCCCTGAAACTTCATTCTCTTGATTTCTGTCTTCATCTACTCATTTCATATAAAATCATATCATATAAACTTATTTAAGGTGTTCTTGACTCTCAGCCAAGTCCTTGAACATTTATCTATTCTGGTTCATTGGTTCCAATTCTCATCAAATAATTCTTTACCTATCAATAAAAATGAGAAAAATGTTGCCAGTGGAGTCAGGTTTACGTGAAGCTAAATGTATTTGATTTTAAGACTGTCCTTTATTCCAAGATTCTATCTTTAGCACATTTTTATTGTCAAAATATCCTTTGAATGTAAGCTATGGAATTAGGCTATCTGGGTGAAAAACCTAAAAATACCACTTACAGGGCATCATTTAACCTCTCCAAGCCTGTTTGCTTGTCTGTAAAATAGGACTATAATTATACATACCAATAGAGTTATATTTGACCCTTACAAATAAGATAATGCATGTGAAGCACTTAACCATTTTCCAGGCACACAGTTTCTATCAACAAATGATAGCACTGTTGTTGCTGAATTACCTCTTCCACCATGATGACTGCCACCATTATTTAATGTTCTTACCTAGCAAAATAAGTCATTGGCAACCCTATGTTGGTCCTTAACCAACAATTTTCTTTGAAATAATTGTATTCATAAAACCCCAAAGCCTCTGAACCACAGCTCCTGGATGATTGTCTGTCATCTGTTCCTAATTGCCTGACAATAGGCCTCTTACTCTTTTACTACCTATAGTTCCAACTGGGTTATTGATGTTTTATCAGATCATACAGAACTGTGCTTTTCAAACTTTAATGTGTATACAAATCACCTGGGGATTTTGTTAAAATACAAATTCTGATTCAGTAAGTGTGGGGTGGGGCCTGATATTCTGTATTTCTGATGAGCCCCCAGGTGATGCCAGTGCTGCTGCTTCAAGGATCCCCCACTGAATGGCAAAAATGTACAACATGTATTTTCTATTTTTGAGACAGGGTTTTGCTCTGTAGCCCAGGTAGGGCTGCCGGGGCACAATCACAGCTCACTGCAGGCTCAACCTCCCAGACTTGAGCTATCCTCCCACCTCAGCCTCCCATGTAACTGGGACCACAGGCATGTGCCACCATGCCCAGCTAATTTTGTAAATTTTTTGTAGAGGTGGAGTTTTGCCATGTTGCCCAGGCTGGACTTTCTTGGTATGTGAATTTCTCTGTACTTTAGCACGCTCTATAGATCTTTGAGGACTGTCTCCTTCAAATCAGGGAACTGGAAGTTCTGTTACAATTTTCACTATCTCTAATTTAATTAGTTTTGGAAAACATAATTCCTTTTGTGCTCTTATTATAGTCTTGTCACTTGTCAAGTTTACATCACGTGTTTGGGGGAAACACCTCAAAATAAAGTAAACTGACTGTTCCTCTTGCGACTGTTAGCTGAGAATAACAATTTAAATATGCTTGCAAAAAAATAAAGTAACCAAACCCACCTCACCTGGAACATTGTAAACTGTGTTGGATAGGCCTGAATGCTCTCATAACTGTTGCTCTGGATGGACCTGCTGATTCTGGTGACTTGGCTGATCTTCCCTATATTGAATTTGGGAAAGGATTTGAGTACAGGACGCAGCTCTCTATTGGCATGAGAGATCTTGGGAGCCGTCTGTCAAAGCAGCTGGTAAGTTACTCTGAAAAGGCTGGTAAGCTTAAATTTTCAATTATTTTGTATGTAGGTTTAATGCTTATGCTTAAGAATTTGAACTTATTCTGTTTATTTGGGAGTGAAGAAAGGTTTTTATGAATTAGTGAACAGCGTAGGAGGGTTTATCTGGAAGAAATGTAATACAGTAAAGAGATGTCAAAGCATGTTTAATGTATATGCTTGGCAAAAATAGGAGGAGGAGGAAACAGAGAAAAAGAAGAATTTAAATAGTACACACAATCATGTCCAAATTATAGCCAAAGAACATAAGTGACAAAAAGAATCTGAGATGCGAGCATGAATCGGCTGTTACCTCCACCAGCCAGTTTTCATACCCCTTGCAGATCCTAGGCATAACAGCTTTCCGCACTGAGTGTAATTCTAGTATTTAAGTTGTGTATTTTTCCTGGGACAAGACCTGTAAATGAAAGCAAATTACATTTGAGTTCAACTAGAGAAAGCGTAATCTGCTCTAAAGCTGGAGGAAAAGCCTAGTGACAGTAAACCTCACAGGTACTTTATGAGCAATTGAAAGATTAAGGGTTGTGACTCCTTGAGATTTCTACCTTATATTCTGTTTGTTTGTTTGAGACAGTCTCGCTCTTTCGCCCAGGATGAAGTGCAGTGGTGTGATCTTAGCTCACCGCATCTCTGCCTCCCAAATTCAAGCAATTTTCCCTGCCTCAGCCTCCCGAGTAGCTGGGATTACCAGCGCCCGCCACCATGCCTGGCTCATTTTTGTATATTTAATAGAAACGGAGTTTTGCCATATTGACCAGGCTGGTCTCAAACTCCTGACCTCACCTTATGTTCTATTTTTAAACCTGATGCCTCTATAAGATGCATCTCAATCGTATTTCTTTCAAAAACATACGAGAATTCAAACTCAAGTGGTAAAGCGTCAGCAAGCTCTGTGTGGCTCTACTTTTACTTTAATGAATTGCTAGTAATTTTGTAATTTGCTTATAACTTATAGAATCTTTAATCGGTATATGAGAACACTTTCCAAGGAAGTGCTAGCTCCTGCTATTTTCCACCTATAAAATTTATATACACAGAGGTATTTAAGCAACTTGTTCAGTGTTGTAATTATGTAAAAATAATTACATAAAGAATATGAAAGTTTTGTTGGAATTCATTTCTACATGGAAAGACAGTGTTTTTACAAAATGTGTATTTTTTTTCCTGTTGACTACTCTGTGAAATCTCTTTGGTAATTCATAGAGGAAGTAAATTATTCTTCAAACAAACCTGTCAGTTTTTGTATATCATATAAATGGAACACTCTACAAGAAAAACTTAATCATAGGTCAGTTTTAATAGTAATGGATTCGATGCTGTAGAATTTTGGTGATCCAAAGAAAATTGATGTTATCTAATATAAAAGCATAGTATCTATTTTGTTATTGTTTGCTTTCACACATTTCCAGTTCGATTGCTTTTTCTGAAATTGTCAGGAAAAAGAATTTCATAATGTCAGAAAAGGAACATTATATAGTAGGAAACAATCAAAGGGAGAAAATTGCTAAATGGCTATAACAAAAGATTTTCATTTTTCATTTCACTAGAGATTTATTGGGAAACTTCGCAATACAAAGATTGGTTCTACCCCATTAAGTGAAGTATAAAATTTATTTGAAAATAGATTTTTTCTAAAAGTAAATCTGGTGAGTTAATTGTAAAAACGTAAAGCAATATGTCATCTATTCAGGGGATGACTAGGTAAGTCCAGGATGACATTTATTCATGTTTTAAAATACATGATATGGATTTTTTGACCAGAGTATAAAGAGGAATATTCTCCTGTGTCCCCTACAGCAAGTGCTTCCAAAATGTTGCACATGCAATTTGTGTTTTGGAAATCCTATCAAAATTGTTTTGGAAGAGTTTACCATTGGACTTAGTTCCAAGAAATGTTACACTGGGCCCTGTCTAAATTGTCTAGCATACCAACATTTCACAAGATGAGGAAAATAGCATGCATTCATTTTATTGAACAAAATATTTGGGGCAGAATTATGTAGGGAAATTAACAATATCATGGTCAGTGCTAGGGTGAGGTAGGGCAGGGACAGACAGCCACATCAGTTGGCATGCAGTCAGTTTGCCACAGCTAAACTGATACCAATTTGAAAACACAGAAACATTTTTGAGTTGATTTGGAATACCTCAAATGGTGGAGAGTGCAGATGATAGGAGGAAAGATGGAAGCAAAAAAAAAAAAAGTTTCATGCATTCTTTCTAAAGCACAGTCATTTGAATGGTGACCAGGCTTCTGCAACTGTGGTAGAAGTCTGGATCACATGGTTGAACTTGCATACGAGATTTGGGAAGCAATATCACCAAATGTAATATATTTCTTACCCTCTCCCAAGGTCAACGTTGCTGAAAGAACATGCTGCTGTTTGTTCTGCAAGTGCATTGGAGGAGATGGCACAATGGGAGATCCTGGACCACCAGGGAAAAGGGTGATTTTAGTTCAGATTTATGGGTTACTTTGAGTTGTAGAATGTCCTTCAGACATGGGTTTAAGTAGAAATAAGGGGTGATTTTTAACTTCTAAATAGAGCCTCTTATGTAAGAGTTTATTATACTTCCTTTTTATGTGTTAAGTTAGTCATGGATTTTCCTTGGCATTCTAAATTGGAGTCTTTTTAAAAAGTTTTTGTGGAAGACTCAGGAAAAACAACTGTCAAGATCCTTGATTATCCAGTATTCTAGTACTGATGACAATGATGCAGGAAAATCAGCTGTAATCCCTCATGTTGAATAATGAAAGCCTCCTCCATGTGAATAACCCATTTCAGCATTCGTTTCTAATGATGGCAGAGTTATTAAAATCAAACAGAAGATACTTTGTGTACTTTGCTGGAAACCAGGCTAGATCAGATCACTCTCTTATAGCAGAAGATGTTAAGATGTCTCATTCAGCTTAAGTCAGGTCAAAATGTTATCACAGATACATAAACAAAAACAGGCTCATTATTTAAAAACAGAAACCAACAATGATGATTCATATATTTCCTAACCAGAAAAAGTATATGTACCCTTATGTAAAAATATTATTTTGAACTTTAAGAAATGTTTAAATACATATAAACATTATGGATATGTTATAATGATTTCAATACAGTTTGTTTACATGTGTTTGATTTTTGAGTAATTTATAGGTAGCACTATAACTCCCAAATCACCAGGGCTATGTGTCTGAATATGTCTCTGAAAGTTTTTGGACTAATTATTTCCTGAATGTTTCAGCTTCATGTAAAGAGAATGATAGATTTTTTAAAAAATAAGTCTCAGAAAGAATGGAAAGAAAAGTGTGTGGTCTATTTTTCTATGTGTAGCATAAATCCTAAAAGATTTTTTGATAAAGGGAAAATAATTCTAGTTTACCAGTGGCAAATATAGCTGTGTTGACTTGAATGTTTGTTTAGAAAGAAGCTCTGGAACAATATATAAACCCAGAGTTACAATATTATGATTGTCACACACTCACACACCCTCTTGGGTTAACTGGATACTTGTCTCAAAATTCCGTATCTTTCTATGTGTGTAAATGTAACCTACACTGGGAAGCAGGGACTTTTTTTTTCCCCCCCCCAAACTCTTACTACTCCACATGAAGTAAAACTGTAAAGTTGAATTTGGTTTGGTTACCTCTGATTTTTGGTTCATAGATGCAAATGTTTTCTTCCTTTTCTTATTTCCAGGGACCTCCAGGTTTTAAAGGCAGTGAAGGTTACCTGGGAGAGGAGGGAATCGCTGTAAGTCAAGGCTCTTTTTACCTCCATTTATCCCTAAAAACATATCTACGATATGAACTTCCTTGAGTCAATTCTGAATTGGGGAAGCAAGAAAGGTGAGATTCTAAGGATTCGTGTGCAGAATCTGGGATCTTCTTTTGTTCTCATTGTGCTTTGCTTCTGGTGGTCATTAGTGGCTTATTGACCTATTGTCTCTTCTTTGACTACCCACCAACATTGCACAATGAATTCAATGCAGAAGTTACCTTCGTCACTAGGGGAGTTGAATCACTGCTATATCCCCCATTCTGGAGCATTCTGCAAAGGAAACCAACTCACCACATTGCTTATCAAGGACTTCACTCTTTCTTGCATTCACTCATCCTTCCATTCTCCCATCAATCCATCCAAACATTTATTTACCAATTATATATTAAACATCTTACCATTTACTACATTATTTATCAAAGACCTCACACTTTAACATATTCATTCACTGGTTCATTCAACAAATATATGTTATGTATATGTGTGCCTGGCACATGATCAAATACTTAACATATATTTGTAGGCTTCAGAAATGAGAAAAATAAATAAAAGGAAAAATATGGTTTCTACCTCCAGGAAACTTTCAAACTAGTAGAAATGCAAATAAGACAACAGTGATTCTGGTTGTTATACACAAAGGCTAGACTAGAAGTATAGAGACATGCAAAGGAGTGTGGCAGAACAACTCAGTTACCTAACAGCCTTGGCTAAAGTTGGAGCTTGAGAGGGGAAGGCTGCAAACAAGGAGAAGTACCTGGGCAGACATTTGAAGGATGAGTAGGAATTTCTACAGGCGAAGTTTGGGGGAACAGTGTGTTCAAGGGCATGTGTCTGAGAGAAGATCATGTTCATAAGATGGCACATGGTCAACATGGGTGGAACCCAGGCCAGTGCAGGAGGAAGATATATGTGGAAGGTAAAACTCAGGTTATTGTGAGTCTTGAATCCCCTGCTGAAGATTTGGATTGTGTCTTCTAGTTGATGGGCAGTCACTGAATGGTGGGAAGCACAGGGGTCAAAATTGTGGGAGTGTTTGGAAAGCATGCTCAAGCAACATTGCAGATGATGATAAGGTGAAGATTATAGGTAAGTCTTGCAGTCATAGGTGCAAGACACGTCTTAATTTGTGCTTGGGACAGTATGACTAGATATGTTAAGAAGGTCGGAAGTACGTAACTTGGTGACCACTTGGTGAGAGAGAAGCCTCATAAAGGCAATATGCAAGTGGGATCCAAAGCAAATGGCTATCTGTCATCAGTGTATCTCTGATCTATTTCTACTCTTAGTTTTTATAAGCAGGAACTCTGGATTGTGAACCATGAGCATTCATACTTTTTCTGGTAACAACAAACTTGGCAAGTTTTCAAGACAGATTCCAGATTACAATAGAAAAAGCTCATTTGGATATGTGCCCTTTCTCAGGGAGAAAGAGGAGCCCCTGGACCAGTGGGAGAGCAAGGTACTAAGGGATGCTATGGCACCAAAGGTCCTAAGGTAAGGATTACATTAGAGTATGGAGTTTTCTCAACATTAATTCCATTTTCCTACACTAACTATTACTGTCTTTTTATTTTCAGGGAAACAGGGGACTAAATGGACAGGAGGTATGGTACCAGGCACATCCATTTACCTACCTATATGTTATCTAGAAATATTTTTATTTTTGAGATTAAATTGATCAGTAAGTTATACAAATAAAGTTGTCATTGACTTTCCTTTTTTATTGCCAGCCATTTCATTTTGTTTCTTCCTCTCTTTCAGTACAGGCAATATATATTATTTGTTGGTAGTTTCTATTACTGAGTAACCTTTAATATTACCTAGGCCCAGCCTAATGAAGAGGCTGTGTGTGAAACACAAAGATAGAGTTTTTGTTTGGCATCTGACTTCTTTCCACATGCATGTGATGTACGCTGTTCTAATCATATCTGTCTTTTCAGGGAGAAGCTGGGGAAAGTGGAATTGACGGACTAAACGGAGAACAGGTAGAGCCTTCTTGTACCATAGAGACCCTTCTGAGCTATTTACCGTTATGAAAATGAGAATTCTATTAATAGCTTTCCCTTCTTGTTTTTTAGGGTGATTATGGTCTTCCTGGAAGAAAAGGAGAAAAGGGTGATGAGGGATCCCAGGTACGGATTTAAAAAGGAAGAACATGAAAATTGTACTGGGGATTAAGGGTGTGATTAACAGAGTAGAATAACTACCGTGGGTGTATCAGTCAGCTATTGCTACAAAACTGTTTTGTGACAGTCATAAAACCTCAATTGCATACAGCGATGAACATTTATTTCCTATGTTTCTGAGAGGTTCAACTGATTGAGGCTGGACATGGCTCATGTCTGTAAGGTGGCCGGGGGCTTTACTCCATATGTCACTTACCATTCTGGGACCAGGAGCTAGCCTAACCATGCTAGCCATGACCTTTTTATGCCCATAGCAAAAGCACAAGAAAGCAAGTGGAAACACTAGAACTCTCAGGCCTTCTTCAGACCTAGGCTCAGAACTCTCTCCACACTTGTATCTCTCTCTGTTGGCCAAATCAATGCATATTGCCAAACTCAGAGGAAGGGAATCTTGCCCACCAAAGTTGGCAGTCACTGTAGAGTTACATGGCAAAGGACACAGGAATAGGGAGAGGTGAAGAACTAGGGCCATCAATGACAAGCAGCTACCATAGTAAGAATAGAAGTGGGGTGTTGACAAGGGTCAGTGGTGCCAGGCAGCACATTGAAGAGTGAATGTCACTCATTCCCACCTAGAATGAATACCAACAGCAGCCATATTTTCATCCTCTACTTTGTCTTTAGAGTGTGAACAATTGAGTCAGAAACAATCGTCTTGGGCAAAGTGCATATTCTTTCTGAATCTCAGTTGCCTTATAAAAGAAAGATAATAAGGAATACCTGGTTCATAGAATATTTGTAAAAAATCAACAAGATGACAAATATGTCTGGAACACAGACTTCACCACTGTGGCAAATAATTGAGTTCACTATTAAATTATATGCTGCTTGAAACTAATTTTTTCGGTTGTTCATCTTTCCAACTTAAAAATAGCCTTGGTAGAAAAATGTTTAATTATTCACACAAGGGAGAAGAAAAGCTCTTGTTTTTATTAATTTTATTAAAACTTCTTGTCTTGTTGTTCTTCTGATTTGTATTAACTTTAGGGAAGCCCAGGGAAGAGAGGGATTCCTGGTGACCATGGAGCAAAGGGCCTGCGAGGGGATCCCGTAAGTGCCGGGGCTGCATGGGCTGCGACTGGAGTTAGGGCTTGATTCCCATCAGTGCTTCTGATAGGGAGTCTCGATTTCAAGGTACTACAGTAGTAACCCTGAGTTTAAAACACCACAGGCGTGATTGTAAAATTTTAAATTCAGGTACCTGTGCTAGATCCTCTTCATATACTGAATGAGTGTGAGCAGTGAAAAGCCCTTGCGTGTCTTTTGCAAATGCAGTTTTGTAAATACATACTCAGAATTGTTCTTGTGCTTCAAAACAATGAAGAAATTCTGGTCCACTTTGTTATCTTCCAAGCACCTCAAAATACAGAATGAGAGAAACAAAGCCATCTCTTTTTTTTCTACTCTTGTGTTAGTCTGTTCTCATATTGCTAATAAAGACATACCTAAGTCTGGGTAATGTATAAAGGTAGGAGGTTTAACTGACTCATAGTTCCACATGGCTGGGGGGCCCTCACAATCATGAAGAAAGAGCAAAGGGACATCTTATATGGAGGCAGCAAGAGAGCTTGTGCAGAGGAACTTCCATTTATAAAACCATCAGATCTCCTGAGACTTACTACCACAAGAACAGTATGGGGGAACCACCCCCATGATTCAATTATTTCCACCTGGTGCCACCCTTGACATGTGGGGATTACTACAATTCAAGATGAGATTTGGGAGGAGACACAGCCAAACCACTATCAGTTCTCCGAGAGTTTTTTCAATCAAGAATATCAGCCCCATTTCCTGTAACCCAAGCTGAGTAGGCAAAACTTATGAAATAAAGGCACTGCTCTTGCAGGGGCACAACCCAGTTGAGTAGGCATGACCCATGTTAAAGAAAAAAAAAAAAGGACACAAGCCAATATGTAGGGAATATGCCAAGTCCAATAGAACATCAGTACTATAGGATTTTCATCACCATACCCACACTTAAGTAAGTCTCCAAAACCTTAATGAATTAAGACTTAGCTTTGTTTTTAAATGTTTATTGAACTGTAACATACATCAGAAAAGTCCCTGAATTATAAATACACGGCTTAATGAATGTAAATACACCTGTGTAGTCACCACCAGGTAAAGAAATAGAACATTACCAGCATCGCAGAAGCCCCCCTCATGCCCACTGCAGCCACTACTCCCCTTCCCCAAGGTAATCACTATCCTCTCACTATCAATCAGTTTTACGTGTTCTAGAACTTGATATAAATGGAATCATATAAGTGTCTGCTCTTTTTTTTTTCTGGCTTCTTTTGCTTTATGCTTGTAAGATGAATTGATGTTGTGTATAATAATAGTTCATTCAATCTCATGGCTGTATTGCATAGTATTTCATTGTATGAGTATGCCATGATTTATTACTTATACTAATGATACGTGGGTTGTTCCCAGTTTTTGCTTTTATAAATAGTGCTGCTATGAATATTCTTATATATGTCTTTTGATGCACTTTTGTACGTATTTATATTGGGTCTATATTTTAAGAGTAGAATTTTTGGATTATAATGTGTATGGCCATATTCAGATTGTCTTTACAGTTAAATGGTTTTCAAAAGTTTGTACTCATTTATACTCCCACTAGCAATGTATGAGAACAGTGTACTACACACTCATCAGAATGGTTACAATTTATAAAAACAATACCAAGTGATGATAAGGATTTGGGACACCTGGGAATCTCATGAAATTCTTTTTTAATATATCCTCTTGTATACAATGGGTTGATCAGAGAAGGATTTCGATGCAATATATATGAACATGTAATGTTAGACAACTGTATTTTAAAAACAGAGGAATTCACGCATGAAGAAAACATTGTTGACTGAGTGACAACTTCTGATAAAAGTGTCCTGAGAATTTTCAAACTTCAAAGAATATTTAGAACCAAAGAACTATCCACATATAAGCATAACTTAGAAATATTCGTTCAAATACAAAGACATTTCAGTCATTCATATATGATGACCAAAAATTCGTTTGGGGTATGGCTATATAACTTCCACTGATTTTGATCAGAATTTCTCCTAAATTGTCTGCTAAAGATAGTGTGATTATGTAGCATATTTAAAAGAGTCTGAATAACATAAAGAGCTTTAATTTTAAAAGAAATGTTCTGTGACTTCCAACTGTAAAACAACTCTATGCTTATTTACATGTGGCTTCAGTGTGTTGCTATTTCAGGAAAAATTTCAGATAAATAAATAGAACGTGATCAGTTTATTCTTAGGAAAACATGCAAATGGCACAAATTTTTGAAACCCTAAGCTTATTTAGATAGGCTTTACGATCACATGGAAGCGCATTTGGCTGTTCAGAATTTCCCATCTTGACGAACTGTTTGGAATTTCACACACTGACTGGGAGTGTTTTTTCAATCTCAAGAAATATTGGGGGTAAACAGCTAAATCATTTTGACAACATATTATTATAAGCCCGTGTTTAATTGTAAATTTGTGGAAGATAATGCTTTTTTGCCCAGTTGTATACATGTAGAAAGACTAAATCGGTTCATACTCACATTGACCAACTGTCTATATGCAATTTGGGTTGTTCTATTCTGTAAAATGTGCTGGTATACAATTCTTTTTATGTTACCTCTTCAAGTAGTTTAGAATTGAACTACAATAAGAGGCTTTTATGTCCAGTGGAATAAAATTCTGGACTTTACATGACCTCCCTTTTCCTTCCTTGCTTTTTCCACCAAAATACAATTTTCTGATATTGTAATTGAGGTATACCCTGCTTGGAGAATGCATGCAAATGGCACAGATTTTTGAAAATATATTTAAGAGACAAATATTTAAACTTAAGGGAGAAAAAGAAGATGCAGAAAATGATATTTGGCTTTGGTAGGTGGAGGAAAGAAGCAATTTTTCACCTACGTTTTAGTAATATCAGTGTTATAAAGTAAATTCCAAACCCTTCTTTTTTACCCCATTAACTTATAAGCTCTGTAAGTACAAAACCACTTGTTTAAAAAGCTTACTAAGCATCTGGAACAATGATATGTTCCTGCTGGTGACCGCAAATTACTTGTTGATTGATGAAGGAAATCTGAGCTGCTATCAGCCCGGCAGCCCCATAGCTGGCGCTCAGAAGGACTGGATAATTGTTGTCCTCTCTCAGTTTATTGGAGCATTGACTGAATTGACCAGATCAGTTGATTTTCTCAGCATCATGGAGACATAGCTCTGTTTGTGGTTCATACGACTCAAGCAAGAAAGACTTTGGTTTGGCCTGCTAGAGAATAATTCCAAATTTCAGGATTTTTTGAAAACCAGAAAAGTAGGAGTGAACATATGAGGGTAGCATATGGGAGTGCCCAGGTGTCCAGGAAGAGAAAGAGGGAGCTGGTGGCAGGTGGAATTCTCAGTGTCACTCAGAGTGCTTATTACATTATCAGGGTGGAACCTATTGCAAATGTTTGTCTTTTCTCAAGGGTATGGTAGAATAACATCTACCAACTTACCAACTCTCAAGTGTAACTTTGCCTAGCCTCCAAGAAAAAAGAGGAAAAGTTAAGAGAAGGGGTGGCAGTAACAAGAGGGGGTTCCTCCAGACCCAGGGTAAAAGTTGCCATGCACATGAGTCACATCACCCTGGCTTGCCTTGGCTGTGCCTTCTATGGAGAGCTCTTTCTCCCCACACACACACTTTAGGTCTCCATTCTGTCTCTGATAATATCAGACACAGGAGGAAAAGAAAATACTTGTAAGTCGTCTGTAATTTTAACCTATTTCTGCTTTCAAATGGCTTAGACTTGTCAACTTCTCGAGAGATAGCTAAATGTTATACATAAGTTATATTTTTAAGGAGAAATGTTCAAATATATTAACTTTTCTCTTCATTTTCTATTTTTAGGGGACTCCTGGAATTGACAATAGTATAGAAGGACCCACAGGCTTGAAAGGAGAACGTGGAAGAGAAGTAATTATGTGGGCTTGAAAAATGATGATGCAACAACTGTGGGGCTCAAGTTCTTAGTGGTAGAATATGAAATGCTTAACAAAAAAATTGTAGTCAAAGTGGATATACTTGGTACAGAAAAACTATTATTAGGAGCAAAATGATCTTTTCTCCTGCCTATGTACTATGGGATTTGAGAAACATTCTTGTCTTCCTCCTCTAAATTTGGGGTGACTTGATTCACCAAGACATATCCTCGAGGTCTTCATTCATGAATATAAGCATTGGAACTCTAACTTAAAATGTAGGGCTAGCTGATAGAAACAACTGTGCTAGCAAAAGAGTTGTTGGCCTTTCCAGTATCTGGAGGTAACATACCCTAAAAACACATATTAGTAGTACATGATAAAAAGAACAAAATCTGGTGGGTAGGTGTGGTCCACACAATCAAGAAAAGTTCTTGGGATTAATCTCATAAGTCACAATGTGTTCATCAAAACCTGTTTTCAGTATTTAAAAATAGTTATCTAAAAAATGTGTGTCACTGGATTTTTTTGGATAATGTTCCCTTGACTGTACCTACGGAATAAGTATGATATATAGTGGAAAGAACTGTGGAGACAGCCCTAGGTCCTATCTCATGCTCCATAACTTACCAGCTCTGGGTCTTGGGCTACTTTCTGTAAACCCCAATTTTCTCATCTGCAAAATAGGGTGAATAGCCTACTTTAGAAGGTCATGATGGGAATTAATGATATTTAATTTAATGACATTAAAACCTTCAGTAAATATTGTCTGCCATTATTAGTAAGTGGTAAATGTAAGTCTCATAGGAGACTCATAAATTATTGCATACTTTTGTGTCTAGTGATCCTCTCTAGTGATCGTACAAGTCTTTGTATTATGAGACTTTATTTACAGTAAGGTAATAATCCGTTTGATTAGCCACACAGATCAAGCGATTCAAAAGTAGAAATCCAAACCAGTAGTACCTGACACATAGTATGCTTAAGTTATCCACACCGTGGCAACGTAGTAGGGATAGTTCGAATTATCTGAGACATGTATCCCAAATACAACTTAGATGGTAGTGATGAATGATGAACAGATGAAGCCATGTCATATAGCTTTTTTCTCCTGCAATTCCTCATGACTCACATGGAAATGTGACTTATTTTCAGTAGAGTTCATGCCATTTTCCAAAGGAAAGGTAACTTTCTCATTGGTATGTAAACCTATCTCTCCTCCCTGGAGTAAAAATTGGTGTTAAAGATGAACTCTGTCAATGCTGCATAATTACCATCACACATCTATCTGTTCCTTTGACAGGGTAGAAGAGGCTGGCCAGGCCCCCCCGGGACACCAGGCTCCAGAAGAAGGACAGTAAGAGCCCTTCTAGACAAGGAAACCCACTGTACTGGTGGCTTATTTTGTGGTGAAAATGGCTGACTTGGGGGAGTGGGTGGGATGGTTCTGCTGGAGCTCACTATCTTGGGGAAACTAACTTAGGGCATCTGGTGGACTAGGGCTGGCAAAGGACTTGGGAAAGCCCTGGAAGCTGAGGTAGGAAAGTGCTGACTACAGAAGAGTTCACCAGTCAGGAGAGAGAGCTGGGCAAAGAAAACCAAAAAAGCCTCCAACTAGGGGAAAAGTGGTCAAAGTGTGGCCTGCTAGCTAGGTTGAGATCACTTGTGATAGCGTTTTAAATCCAAATTATTCTACTCTTTTTCTGTCAAACTATATGACTATTAAGAAAAGTAAGAATGGAGATAATTAAAAAGTCAAGAAACAATAGATGCTGGTGAGAATGTGGAGAAATAGGAATGCTTTTACACTGTTGGTGGGAATGTAAATTAGCTCAACCATTGTGGAAGACAGTATGACAATTCCTCAAGGATCTAGAACCAGAAATACCATTTTACCCAGCAATCCCATTACTAGGCTATACTAAAAGGAATATAAATCATTCTACTATAAAAACACATGCACACATGTTTATTGCAGCACTATTTACAATAGCAAAGACATGGAACCAACCCAAATGCCCATCAATGATAGACTGGATAAAGAAAATGTGGTACATATACACCATGTAATACTATGCAGCCATAAAAAGGAATGAGATCATGTCCTTTGCAGGGACATGGATGAAGCTGGAGCCATCATCCTCAGGAAACTAACACAGGAACAGAAAACCAAACACTGCATGTTCTCACTCATAAGTGGGAGTTGAACACTGAGAACACATGGACACAAGGAGGGGAACAACACGCACCTGGGCCAGTTGGGGGTTAGGGGGGCCAGGGGAGTGAGAGCATTAGGATAAATAGCTAATGCTTGCAGGGAATAAAACCTAGATGAACAGTTGATAGGTGCAGCAAACATGGCACACATACACTTATGTAACCTACACATTCTGCACTTGCATCCCAGAACTTAAAAGAAAAAGAAAAAGAAAAAAAAAAGTCAGGAGAAAGAAAAGAAGTCAGTCCTGGTATAGGCATATCTGAGACTGAAATTCGGTCACTTGCTTGTTGGGGGTGCAGTTTTGGTTTGTTCTTTGTTTTGTCATTTTTTTCATTAAGTACTTTAAAAATTTTCTGCATTTGTGCAGAAAAGCACAGAGATGATAAAAGAAAATATTCAATAAGAAGAGATAACTTTAATAAAATATACTTAGATGCCTACATCAACTTCTAAATTAGGCTTTCTCGTTTCATTTTGCTAGGTTTTCTTTCCATTCTTTATGTAGTTATCCAGCTTTCAATTTACCTCACCCCCTCCCAAATACGAAATGCTTTAAAATTAAGCACAAGTAGAAACTACTTTAGTATATTGCATTTATTACACATCGTCTTTTCTGAGCAGAAGTTTGCAGAACCAGCTATTATACTCCATCAAAAAATATTTGTTTATCTTGGAGCATACACGTGTTCTTTGCAAGGCAGAGAAAATGAAAAGAAAAGAGATTACGTTTAAAATATGCAGAATTTGATTGCTGGAAAAGTGCTTTACTAATGCAGTTTCAGTGCATATAAAGAAATGCATTTGCTATTCATTTCACTTTCTAAAAGGGTGTAGACAGCTTATATACCCCTGGAAAATATTTTCAACTTAAAGAATATCATCCAGGAAATCCTGGCATGTAAGGATGTACTTTCACTGTTTTATAGCCTCCGGGGGCTAATGCAATATTGTTATGTATTATTTAAACCACACCACTCCCATGAAATATGACCCTCATCTTGGGTTATAGATTCACACATGTCATTCAGGAGTAAAAGTGGGACTTCCAGTTGAAATGGCAGAATAAAGATGTTTTCATACTATTCCTCTTATGTGCATCTCACCAAAAACAACAAAAGAAATTAAAAATGGTGAAACAAAGAATAACCACAGCTTCAAGCTGCAAATAATGACAAATACCGGCCAACTGTTTTTAAATCTCAACCCTAATGAGTAAGGATTTAGAAAGCTGAACATCAAGTGTGACCTCATGCAGGAATGAGATTTCTTCAAAACTGACTGCCATAGTCCTGAAGAAACTGGTGAACAAAATCCAGGGACATGGTAGATTTTGAGAGAAGCAGGGAATATACACATAGGACCACAGTTCAACAGCAGAGGCAAAATGAGAAATTGAAAAATATTCCACTTTTATTATGTACAACTAGCAACCAAGGCCACGGAGGCAAACGATGAGGAGAGAGGCAACAGTGTCTGTCACAACACAGAGAAACTATGACTTAAGGGGCTTCATGTGAGTGCCATGAATCCCTTAAACATCAATAGTAGAAGGAAGGTGTAGCTCTAAGGTAAAAGAAATCATTCGTTTGATGAGAAAGTGTTTGAGGCAACATATCTGTGTGAAAGCTACCAGCCCTGTTCCAGCCACACATCCCCATAATTTCTTCAATAAACAAGTGGTCCTATTCAAAGATGGTGAATGGTCAGGAACATTAATAATCTTTATTAATTAGATGATTAATCAGAACATAAAGCTGCAAGAGAAAGGAAACCATGGGCAAAGGGCAGATGAAGCCTCATTAGAAGGGGAATTATTCAAGGAAAAATTTGAATTCTGGCAAATAGTTCTTTAGAGTCTCAAAGAAGTGAAGATAACATTATTGCTCTTAAAGTTTGAAGCACAGACAAGACAATAGAAAGTGAAGAAAGCAAGTTGGCAGTGCTTGAGGAGCAATGGAAGGGAAACAATAGAGATGTAAGATATGTTAACACCTGACATTTCTATTCTTTGTTTTTTCTTCTATTCAAGTAAAATTAGATGTAATATTTTAATTTTAAAATAGTTTAATGTCTCTCTTTAATGAAACACTATTTAGAATTTCATCTGTATGAATGAGTATAGAAGATGTCAGGAATCATAATTAACATAGTATTTCTAGATGGAGGAGTTGGGTGATTTAAATTTTTTTTCTATATTCTTTGTATTCAAATATTTTTTAAATCAGCATATATCATTCTCATAACAGTAAAGTCATTCTTTGAGAAAGTAGAAAAATCTAATGTTCACTGCAGAACTCTAAAATGAATGTTACAATGAGCATGGAGGACTTATCAGTGCACTTAAGTTCTGCTAAGCTGGTAAGTGATTGGAGGATGGCCAGTGGTAGGAGTGGCATTCTGGGAAATAAACAGCAAATCTGACCTTTACTCATTTGAACACCTACAATCCACCAGCAACACTACTAAATACTAGAAATAAACTCAACTACAAGCTTAACTAAGACCATGTTTCCTGTCAAGGAATTTAGAATCATGTTATAGAGTGTGGTTCCTCAGCCTCAGCACTATTGGCATTTGGGTTAAACAATTCTCTGCTATAGGGGGCTGTCTTGTGCATTGTAGAAGATGCATGTTATGTATTATCATGTTATGATGATGTTAACATCATCCCTGGCCTCTGCCCACTAGCTGCCAGTAACACCCCTGACCTGTAACAATGAAAAATGTCTCCAGATATTGTTAAGTGTTTTCTGGGGAAAGGGAGGGTGCTAAATCTCCCGCTTCCTGTTGAGAATCACTTTGTAGAAGGGGATGGACCTGTAGAGTTAATAAGCTGTTACCAGTGCTATGCTAGCAGACTATAATGAATTGGGGAGAAAGGCAGGAAGGAGGGACAAGAAGGAAGAATCTGGGTTAGAATGTGGTAATTCTGTGAGGAAGATGAGGAAGAAAGTGGGGGGCCGTCTCTTTCTGAGCCAAACCTGAGAATTAAAACAGATTCTTGTGCCGAGGATAATGAGAAGCAACTGTAGCCTGAAATTAATGCATATCTTTCATTCCTGGTTAGTCTAGAGGGCTGTTAGTTATGACTTGCCCTTTTCATCCCTCTTGGCACTAGTTTAGAGGATCCTGAAGCGGTGTTGGACAATTGTTCATCATTGTAAATGCTTACCATTAAGACTCAGTATTAATGTGATGTTTTATCATTCAGAATATCCTGCTTTTTACCTGATAATTCTCCGTCCCGATGGTTCTATATCCAGGAAATCGGGTCCTATAAACAACCAGAAAGCCAGACTTTGGGGAACGAAGGACTGAGTACCCTGTTCTTGCCCATCTTCTTCTCAGGTCCCTTTGGGGAGATTTTCTCTCCTGATGTGCCCATTCACAGTCTATTTAAAGATAAGTCAGGTTGTCTAGATGTGTTATCAGACATCTGCAAGTCCTTGGGTAAACCATTAAGATATTTTGGAAAATCGTCTTTCTCATATAAAACACGTGAAATTTTTAGGCAAAATTGCAAAATCATCTTCCATATTTCCTTGTTTTCTGTCTCTCACAGCAACCCAATGTATCTCTCCCATGACTTTCATTTGGAGCTTAAATCCCAAGTAACCATTAACAAAGGTGCTATGCGATCGTTTCTGAAGATGTTTTCATTATTTGCGTGAATGGCGGATAAAAGTCTTTCCCATCCATTAGGCTTATAAACTAACTAGGGTCAGGAGTCAGATTTTGTTCACCACCACCCAGCCCAGTTCCTAGAAGGGAACAGGAACTCAATAAATATGTGTCACAATAATTTATTTTCAGCAAGCCCTTTTAAAATCAAACCTTAAAGACACAAGGGGAAAAAAATGTTTCTTGATGATGTTTGAAACATTGTGACAGCAAGCCAGAGGTAGATTTTTGAACATGGAGGTCTGTTCCACTTCCCTTAAACATGCGGAAAGCTCTTTATTTTGCTTGAATATAAAGTTCCATTCAGTTCCTCTTACCACAACCAGATGTATCCACCTGCAGCTGGGGTCTGACCATGTACTTTTCCAACTCAGAAAACCCTAGTGACTTCTGCTAAATGTTGTAGGAACCTTTCAGCCTAGTCACCCTGCTACTTCCCTTTCTTCTCACACTTTTGACACAGATGGCCTTACTGCTACTACCAAATATGCTTCCTGTTTTTCTGTCTAGTTCATAGCTTAGGCTGTACCTCTTCTGGAAAGACCTGATACATTCTCTGCCTGTAGGACTGCTACCCATCCTCTGAAACACCCATCTCAAAAATCTCTGCTTCCAGGAAGCTTTTCCTGATTTGACCAACTGGATGTGATTGCTCTCTTTAAAACTTGTGTTTCTATCTTTTCCCTTTTTTTTTGGCTTTTGCATACTTTGCCTTGTAAATATTTGTAATATGTATCTCCTCCTCCCAAACCCAAAGAATGAGGGTCCCCTGAGGTCAGGAATGTGTGTGTGTGTGTGTGTGTGTGTGTGTGTGTGATCTTTATGCTCCCACATTTCCCATCTAGTGTGTTTTGTGGGTAGTATATTCAAATGAAAATATCTATTGCTATTTGTCAAATGGAAATATCTACTGATATTTTTCTGAATAAAAGAGAAGCGAATTGAATCAGAACAGACAAACCCATGTGCTGAAGGAAGGGAAACAGCTTATTTTCCTCCCTCTGATAGACGATTTAGGGTTTCATCTCAAGATGATTCATCAGTTTTGTAAAAATAAAATCAAATAAAGACCTCTACGCATTTCCCCGAAATACAGTCTGTTTCTTATGTAACAATAGTGTATTGGTCCATTTTCACGCTGCTGAGAAAGACATAGCTGAGACTGGGTAATTTGTAAAAAGAGGTTAAATGGAGTCACAGTTCCATGTGGCTGGGGAGGCCCCTCAATCATGGTAAAGGTGAAAGGCATGTCTTACATGGTGGCAGGCAAGAGAGAATGAGAGCCAAGTGTAAGGGGAAACTTCTTATACAATTATCAGATCTCATGAGACTTATTCACTACCCTGAGAACAGTATGAGGGAAACCACCCCCATGATTCACTTATCTCCCACTGGGTCCCTCCCACAACATGTGGGAATTCTGGGAGCTACAATTCAAGGTGAGATTTGGGTGGGGACACAGCCAAACCATATCAAATAGATTTTGACTGAAATAGAATTATCAGAATTTCAAGTTTGAAATACTGGCCTCTCAGAGAACATCTCAAATTTCAATCAAGACAATGTCTGATTTTATTGAATTTTGCAAATGCTGGGTTTTACTTTTACTATAACATTACTGAATGATCCTAAGTTAGACAACAAAATGCCATTGTCTCTTGATTTCCAGGTCTATGAAATATTGATCTAGAATATATCTAGACCCTACACTTACGTATGACAGTGGCAGGAAAACCCACTTGATTATGTAGCATCATTTTGATTGGATATTAATATACTGGATGGAGTAGCTTTTGAATGCTTGGGAAAATTCTTTCATTTTTCTCAGGTAAACATTGGCTTTTTAAAAATAAAATTAGTTTGGCCATCTTTATGTCTGAACTTTATTATAAAGTACATGGAGTCAATTATCCCAGTTTTTCCTCTGGCCGCCTGCCTTTTGGCTAGTTTACCCCTGATTTCTGACTTCCTTGGTAGTGCTTCAGGAAAAATAAAAGAAATAAAATTCAAATAAGTCAATTTGCAGCTTGTGAACAGCTCTAGTAAAAGTTTAATAGAGAACAAATTATTGACCACAGTCTGTTCTCATAAGTATCTGTAGATTTCAATTGTCTATTATTTCTATTGTCAGTTATTTCAAAGAGACAAATATTCTATTGCCCTAGGATAGAAACGTAGATTTAGCAGTGTTTTGCTTTCATGGTACAGTGGAAAATTGAATGTTGTAAGCACTTTGCGGGAATTTTTATGTATGCTGGTGCCTTAAAGTGTCCATTATGAATTTAAATCATATATAAAAAAGCATTCTTTCTGAATTAAAGATATGTACCTTTTTCTTCTATTTTAGGCAGCTCATGGCAGAAGGGGACATACAGGCCCACAGGTACAACGATTTTTCCCCTTAACTCCAAATGACAAATATTGCATCCAATCAAGGAGCTGGAATAAAGGCTCTGTAAAGTCTCTAAACTTCCCCTTTTGATGATATTGGTTATGGAATAGAAAGCTGGAAAAATTTTAGGTTAAGATTTTAAGAGTTCATATTTTAAAATGATGTGGGAACTTCGGTCAAAAACCGTAAAAAATAATGGCCAGAGATGTACTTAGTACAATTACTGTTAAATTTAACTTTGCTTGGATTTTAAGTACAAACTTGAATAACTTAGTAGATGACCTTTCTTTTATGTTTTCATTTAACTTTGGAATCTTACAATTATTAAAAAAAACCATATAAGCCAAAATAATACAATAAAACTCTTGTACAAATTGGATAGTCTGAGTATTTTGATCAAAAAGTCAGTTAAATCAAAAACCATATCCCATTCTCATTGCGCATGTTGGTGATACATTATATGTGTTTCATGAAGCTGTAATATTTATGAAAGAGTGGTTGTGACTTACAATTTTGTAAAACACACATCCTCAGATTAAAAATACAATGAGGATAAATAATCCACTCTCAATGGCAACATGGTGAGACTCCAGAATGTTAAAGATATAAAACATCTTAAAAATTACCAGAGAGAAAAGATAGCTTTACTCATGAAAAGATTGACAAATTAGATTGCAGCAACTTCTGTTCAGCAATAATACATGCCAGAAAATAACAGAGTAATATCCTGAAGGTACAGTGGAAAAATAATTGTTAACTTAGAATTTTATACCTAAACTATGAGTAGTGTAAAATAGACACTTTTAGACAAAGAGAGCTTACCATCCAGACATTATGCCTCCCTCCCACATACTTTATCTGTTTCTGCTTCTGTAACAAAATACCTTAAACTGGTAATTTATAAACAACGGAATTTTATTTCTTATAGTTCTAGAGGCTGGGAAGTCCAAGATCAAGACATGAGCAGGTTCAGTGTCTAGTGAGGGCTTGCTGTTCACTCCAGAAATGGTGCCTTCTTGCTGCATCCACACATGGCGGAAGGGGCTGACAGCTACCTTGAGCCTCTTTATAAAGGCACTAATCTCATTCAAGAGGATGGAGCCCTCATGACCTAAACACCTCCTAAAGGCCCCACCTCTTAATACTATTACATGGAGGATTAATTTTCAACATATGCATTTTGAAGAAATACACACATTCAGACTACAGCACATTTCAAGGTTGGACTTCAGCAAAAAGGAGAACCTACCCAGAAAAATGGCATGATATAAATGAAATGAAATTGGAGACAGAAGGTGTTAAATTTTTTTTCTGATTTCTAGGAAAAGTTATCTGTAAGTGCCATTTAATCACATCCAACTATATAACAACTGAAATATAAACTTAGGCTCTCCTAATAATTGCCTAAATTATAAACTTCTTGAATTATTTATGCTTTTTATAAGTCTTGTCTGTGACAGAATTCAAGAACAATATGAAGAGGATACTCAACTTTTGTTCCCTAGATATTTAATTGATTTGAATATAAATATTAATATAATTATGTAAGATGCTTGAAGATTTTTGAAGAAATTACGAACTAAATTTTGAGTGTTTTTAAGGTCACATGGCTAAGTTAGATATAATACAAATTGTATAGGGAAGGGGTGGGGACTGCATGTGTGCACGCATGCATATATATAAAGATGGAAAGGAAATATACCAGCATACTAGCTGTGGTTATCTCTGCTTGATGAGATTATAAGTTCTTATTTTCTCTGTATTTGCATTTATTTTTCACTTTTTTTTTTGTTTTTTGGAAAGATCCTGCATTGACATTGTGACTGAAAAAATATAAGTTTGCAGGTAAAGGAGACAAAATTTTCAGGAAACAGTGTTAACAGATTGATACTTTCTCACCATAGGGAATAGCAGGCATCCCAGGACCAGATGGACTTGAAGGCTCCCTGGGACTTAAGGGCCCTCAGGTACATATCAAGACCAATCAGGGTGTGAGAACATAAAGAAGAATCTGGGAATGGAAAAATCTGAGGAGCTGATAGAAACCCTCAAATCCCCCTTGCAGAATTCCAGATGTTTAAAGTTTTCACGGTAATAAAGTAAGGAAACGGCACAGTTTGAACTCATGCAGCACTTGGTCTGCTTTAAGTTTTGTCCCAGTCAAGAAGTGAAAAGTGAATGAGCAGGCTAGGCAGTGGTCCCTGTGTACAGGGTTCAGGGTAAGTAGGATATTCCAGGGAGATCTTGAGCCAAGGAAAATGTTGAACCTCAGATCTGGGAATTGTGGTCAATTTAGCATAGTAATAGTTCAGTGTTACATATCTTGGTGCTCATGATGTAGAAAAATTGGCTTTATTCTTAGGAAAGAATTGCTCGAAAGACAGCTGGAGACATCAGCGGGGTGATCTGCAGTGCAGCACTCAGCCTGCGCTTGCCAGCTCGCTTCTCCAGGGAGCTACCTCCAGCACTTTTTCCTTTGCAAGGAACAAGCCATACTTGGCTCTTTACACTGATCACATGAGGGGTCGCATGAGGGGTCACATGAGGGGCCAGAGAGAGCAAAATTTAGCTAAAATGTTAAGATAAGGGAAAGGAGGTCCTAGCAAATACTGAGATGAAAGAAAGGTCAGACCACAAAAAAGTTAGAACTTTTTTTTTCCTCTCCAAATTTAGTTTTGAAAGCTTAAGGAATAAGTGTACTATTTGGCATAGGCAGGACGATCAATGGTTCTGCTATTTTTCAAAGTTTTAATCCACATAGTTTAAAAAAGTAACTATTATATGTTGGCAGCTTGTTACATGGAAGTTGAGCAAAATATCCTTAAACATCAGAAGGGAAAGTTTGTTCACATTTTGCCAAGATTCAGAGCAGTGAACAGTCTTCCCCTTGGACCTTTCTCTCTTCCTAGTTTGATTACTTTTCTTTGTTGTTGCTTTCCAGCTGAGGAAAGCTCACTGTTTTATTTTTTTTTTTACCTTCAAGCGAGAAATAGTTGCCACTGGGGTTGTGGGGAGGCATTTCAATAGATTGACTAGCTTTATTTCATGCTAAGGAAGTAATACTACAGAATCCCTTCTTCCATTTTATAGAAACTTACTTTTTCTTAATGGTGTAATTTAAAAGCAGAGGCAAAAACCAAACACAGCATGAAAGTTTCTCTGCATAACATATGAAAGCCACAGCTAATAGGCAGTATCACATTCCAAAAATAGAAATAGTCAGATTTCATCTTACCACATACCATATCTTGTTTATGACCAGTCTTTAGTGTGGTGATTGAATAGAAAACTTATTTAAATGTTCTGGTTTCAGATTTATATTTGTAAGGAATATTTTTCTTTTTAACAGAAGAAATGTAGGGAAATGTAGAAAGCAATATGGAAAAGCTCAACCATTCAGTATTTTTTCCAAGCCCCAGTCAGTTTGACTGCCAATCCTCAACTGCCTAAATTTCAGATTGGACATTCATGTTCCTGCATGAATGAGAATGAGCTCCACAGGCCAGGATGGAAGGAAAGGCGTGATTGGAGCTCTCTTTCCCATTTCTGTCCATGTTACTTAGTATTTCTACTTGTAATATTCAATTTAATATTCAATGTTCTCTTTCAGGCAAAAAATAATGCTTTAATTCTATGTACTTAGGGCCCAAGAGGAGAGGCTGGTGTGAAAGGAGAAAAAGGAGGTGTGGGAAGTAAAGGTCCCCAGGTATGTAATGAGATAAATGATTGCATCTGACTTTGATCTTGGCTTGATATGTCTTTGTGGTTTCTTTCATGCAGGTGGAGTTATTTACTGCTTGGGAACCAGGAAAATGTATTAGGTTTGACTTCAGCTCAATGTGGTGGCCACGTCACATCATGGTCCCTCTTGCAGAGCAGGCTATCACTATCAGACACAGAGGTAGAAAATCAAGCCCTCTTTGCCTCAGCTGCTCAGCTATGTAAATCAGGTCACATCACTCCCCTGATCTCAATCCTTGTGGGGTTTCCCATCCCCACCCCACCCCCAGAACACAGCCTACTTTAGTAGTCCTCAAACTGGCTAAATATGAGAATCTCCTGGGGGAATTATAGAACATTCCACCACCTAGAACCCTTTCCAGGACACTTAAATCAGAATCTCTGGCAATGAGGCCAGGGTAGCAGTAATTTAACTTCTCCCTAGGAGATCTTAATGTAGACTTAGGGTTAGGAATGACTGCTCTGCATTAGCACTGCTCCAGCTTCACAGTGCAGAAGAACCCCCTAGAGGAGATTGTTAAGTAGAGAACTTGTTAAAGTGCAGATTCTGAGTCAGCAGGTCTAGGGCAGGGCCTGAGATTCTGCACTTCTAGGGCACTCCCAGATGATGCTGATGCTGCTGGTCCAGACCACACTTTTAATAGAACGGCCCTATGTGATCTGGCCCTCATCTACCTGCTATCAATATTATTTGTTTAGCTGTTTGCCTGTCTCTCCTTCTAGATTGCAAGTTCCATAAAGGATAGGACTTTGTTTTATTACGCTCTATTCCTGGAGTCCAGAATATCAGTACTTGGCACATAGTAGAGCTCAACACATATTTGAATATTGAATCAAACAAGAAATGAATGAATGAGACACACTTGGGAATTGTGTTCTCCACTAACACTAGGGTAAAAGGAGTCCATTGCTTGTGTGGATTAGTTTAACCAGGCAGTCTAATATGCAAGTGGTTGTGTTTATCACCAGAACATCTAAGAAAATTTAAGAGGCTATTTGCATCAACTTGTATCTCATGACACTATTTTTTAATTATAACTTTTATTTTAGGTCTAGAAGTACACGTGCAGGTTTGTTATAGAGGCAAACTGCATGTCATGGGGGTTTGGCATACATATTATTTTGCCACCCAGATAATAAGCATAGTACCAAATTAAGTATTTTTTTCTGATCCTTTCCCATCCTTTACTTTCAAGTAGGCCCCAGTGCCTGTTGTTCCCCTCTTTGTGTCCCTGTGTTCTTGTTGTTTAGCTCCCACTTATAAGTGAGAACATGTAGTATTTGTTTTTCTGTTCCTATGGTAGTTTGCTTAGGATAATGGCCTCCAGCTTCATCTATGTTGCTGCAAAGGACATGATCTCGTTCTTTTTTATGGCTGTATAGTATTCCATGATGTATATTTACTACATTGTCTTTGTCCATTCTACTGTTGTTGGGCATTCAGGTTGATTCCATGTCTTTGCTATTGTGAATAGTGCTGCAATTAATGTACACATGCATGTGTCTTTATGGTAGAATGATTTATATTCTTTTGGGTAAATACCCAATAATGGGATTGCTGGGTTGAATGGTGATACTGTTTCAGGTTCTTTGAGGTATCACCACACTGCTTTCCACAATGGCTGAACTAATGTACGGTTCCACCAGGAGTGTGTAAGTGTTCTATTTTCTCTACAACCTCACTAGCATCTGTTATTTCTTGACTTTTTAATAATAGCCATTCTGCCTGTATCTCACTGTGGTTTTGATTTGAATTTCTCTAATGATCAGTGATTTTGAGCATTTTGTAATAATACAGAACTGTGTTTGATACTACAAAAAATATAAGTGTTTGTTGTGCTTCTCTCCCTGGGTTTCATGGGAGGACTGCAGGGCTCCTCTGACCTGTAGTGCAACACAGAAAGCGTTGACAGCCTGGGGGTGGGGGATGCCGCTGGATTAAAAAATGGGAATGAGGCCCCTCTGGTGAGGTCTGTGTCCATGAGGGTGAGAGGTGCGTTACAGGCATGGAGGCATCAGAAAGGGGAGGGTTGTATGGAGTGGGATTGAACATATTTTCATATGCCTGCTGGCCATGTGTATGTCTTCTTTTGAAAATTGTTCATATCCTTTGCACACTTTTTAATGTGGTTGTTTGTTTTTGGCTTGTAAATTTGCTTAAGTTCCTTAAGATTCTAGATATCAGACATTTGTTGGATATGTAGTTTGCAAATATTTTCTCCCATTCTATACGTTGTCTGGCTTTACTCTGTTCATAATTTCTTTTGCTATGTAGAAGCTCTTTAGCTTAATTGGGTCTGTCAATTTTTGTTTGTGTTGCAATCGCTTTTGTCATCTTTCTCATGAAATCCTTGCCAAGTCCTATGTCCAGAATGGTGTTTCCTAGGTTATCCTCCAGGAATTTTATGCTTCTAGGTTTTACATTTAAGTCTTTAATCCATCTTGAGTTGATTTTTGTATATGGTATAAGGAAGGGGCCTGGTTTCAATCTTCAGCATATGGCTAGCCAGTTCTCCCAGTACCATTTATTGAATAGGGAGTCTTTTCCTCATTGCTTGTTTTTGTTGGTTTTGTCAAAGATCGGATGGTTGTAGGTGTGTGGCTCTATTTCTGGGCTTTCTATTCTGTTCCATTGGTCTAGAATCTGTTTTTATGCTAGTACCATGCTGTTTTGGTTACTGTAGCCTTATAATATAGTTTGAAGTCACATAAGGTGATGCTTCAAGCTTTGTTCTTTTTGCTTAGGATCATCTTGGCTATTCACATTCTTCTTTGGTTCTATATAATTTTAAAATAGTTTTTTTCTATTTCTGTGAAGAATGTCATTGGTAGTTTCATGGGAATAGCATTCAATCTGTAAACTGCTTTGGGCAGCATGGTCATTTTAACAGCATTGATTCTTCCTGTCCATGAGCACGGAATGTTTTCCCATTTGTGTCATCTCTGTTTTCTTTGAGCAGTGTTTTGTAATGCTCATTTTAGAGATCTTTCACCTTCCTAGTTAGCTATATTCCTTGGTATTTTTATTTGTACATTTTTGTGGCAATTGTGAATGGGATTGCATTCCTGATTTGGCTCTCGGCTTGTATGTTGTTGGTGTATAGGAATGCTACTGATTTTTGTATTTCAATTTTGTATCCTGGAACTTTGCTAAAGTTGTTTATCAGATCAAGTAGCTTTTGAGTAGAGACTATTGGGTTTTTTAGATATAAAATCTTGTCATTTGCAAACAAGGATAGTTTGACTTCCTCTCTTCATATTTGGATGCCTTATATTTCCTTCTCTTGACTGGTTGCTCTGGTCAGGACTTCCAGTACTATGTTGAATGGGAATGGTGCTAGAAGGCATCCCTATATTGTTCTGGTTTTCAAGGGGAAGGCTTCCAGCTTTTGCCCATTCAGTATGATGTTAGCTGTGGGTCATAGATGGCTGTTACTATTTTGATGTACATTCCCTCAATCCCTGGTTTGTTGAGGGTTTTTAACACGAAGGGATATTGAATTGTATCAAAAGCCTTTTCTCCATTTATTGAGATAATCAGGTAGTTTTTGTTTTTAGTTCTAGTTACATGATGAATCACATTTATTGATTTGTATATGTTGAACCAACCTTGCATCCCAGAGATAAGGCCTACTTGATTATGGTGAATTAGCTTTTTGATGTGCTACTGGATTCACTTTGCTAGTATTTTGTTGATGATTTTTACATTTATGTTCAGCAAGAATATCAGCCTGAAGTTTTCTTTTTTCGTTGTGTCTCTGCCAGGTTTTGGTATCAGGATGATGCTGGCCTCATAGAATGAGTTAGGGAGAAGTCCCTCCACCTCAATTTTTAGGAATAGTTTTAGTAGGAATGGTATCAGCTCTTCTTTATACATCTGATAGAATTTGGCTTTAAATCTATCTGGTCCTGGATGTTTTTTCGTTGGTAGGCTTTTTATTATTGAGTCAGTGTTGGAGCTTGTTATTGGTCTTTTCAGGAATTCAGTTTCTTTGTGGTTCATTCTTGGGAGGTTGTTTGTGTCCAGGAATTTATCTATTTCTTCTGGATCTTTTCGTTTTTGTACATAGAAGTGTTCATAATAATCTCTGAGGGCTTTTTTTTTTTTTTTTTTTTTGTATTTCTGTGGGGTCAGTGGTAATGCCCCCTTTTTCATTTCTCATTGTGTTTATTTGGATCTTCTCTCCTTTTTTTGGTATTAGTCTAGCTAACTAGTCTATCTTATTTTGGCAAAGAACAAATTCCTTGATTTGTTGTTCTTCTGTATGGTTTTCTGTATCTCAATTTCCTTCAGTACAGCTCTGATTTTGGTTATTTCTTGTCTTCTGCTAGCTTTGGGGTTGGTTCTCTAGTTCCTCTGGTTGTGAAGATAGGTTGTGTTAATTTGAGATCTAATTTTTTGATTGGGCATTTATTGCTATAAACTTCCCTCTTAACACTGTCTTATCTGCGTCCCAGAGATCCTGGTATGTTATATCTTTGTTCTTACTAGTTTCAAAGAATTTCTTGGTGTCTGCCTTAATTTCATTATTTACCCAAAAATTTTCAGGAGCAGGTTGTTTAATTTCCATGTAATTGTATGATTTTGGGTGATTTTCTTAGCATTGATTTTTATTTTTATTTCAGTGTGGTCCAAGAGTGTGGTTGATATGATTTTTTTTTTAATTTACTGAAGATTGTTTTATGTGTGATTGTGTGGTCAATTTTATGATATATACCATGTGGCGATGAGAAGAATGAATATTCTGTTGTTTTAGGGTGGAGAGTTCTGTATATGTCTGTTAAATCAAGTGTTGAGTTCAGGTTCTAAATTTCTTTCTTAATTTTCTGCCTAGATGACCTGCCTAATACTGTCATGGCATTGTTTTTAAGCATGTTAATTATTACTTGTGAAGTTGCTTCTTCAAAAAGCATAAAAACTTTAAAATGTCATGGTATAAATAACTTGATGAAAATAACTATTTC